CCAACATGGTGAAATCCTGTCTCTACCAACACAGAAATTAGCTGGGTGTGGTCCCAGCTACTCGGGAGTCTGAGGCAGAAGAATCGCTTAAACCTGGGAGGAGAAGGTTGCAGTGAGCTGAGATCACGCCACTGCACTCCAGCCTGGGCAACAGACCCAGACTCTGTCTCAAAAAAAAAAAAAAAAAAATTAACCAGGTGTGGTGGCGCATGCCTATAATCACAGGTACTCGGGAGGCTGAGGCAGGAGAATTGCTTGAACCTGAGAAGCAAAAGTTGCAGTGAGCCGAGATCATGCCACTGCACTCTAGCCCAGGTGACAGAACAAGACTCCATCTCAAAAAAAAAAAAAAGAAAAGAAAAATGGCCAGGCATAGTGGCTCATGCCAGTAATCCCAACACTTTGTGAGGCTGAGGCTGGAGGATCTCCTGAGGTCAGGAGTTCGAGACCAGCCTGACCAACATGGCAAAACCCCGTCTCTAACTAAAAATACAAAAATTAGCTGGGTGTGGTGGTGCATGCCTGAAACCCCAGCTACTCGGGAGGCCAAGGAGGAGAATCGCTTGAACCTGGGAGCCAGAGTTTGCAGTGAGCCAAGATTGTGCCATTGCACTCCAGCCTGGGTGACAAGAGCGAGACTCCATCTCAAAAAAAAAAAAGGAAACATTAAACGTTTTTCTTAAATGTTTACACAGCCCACAAGTGGAGTAGCAAATCAACGCAGACACTATAACATGGTAAGTACAATATACAGGAGGAGTGGCCCCAAGTCAGGATAAATTGCAAATGTCTGTGGCAGAGAGGTGGGCAAAGTAAAACCCATTGACTACTAGCTCCCGTCTTCAGTTGCTACCACACTGATGCAACAAAACATTACGGAATCTAAACTAAAGTTCTCATATGGCACAAACAGCCCTCTTCTGTTCAAGTACTGCTTTTGTCACACTTACCAAGAGAAAAAAAACAATTAAGCCCTAGAGTTCATGTAAATATGGCATATTGAGCCAGTAAATACAGTTTACAAGTAATTATAATTCACATGCAGTACCCAGTAGGGATTTACAGTATTATAGAGCTGGGGGTTGGAATCCTGCCAGCTTCACCAACAGGGATAAGACACCACCATCTGTAGCTCTAGACTTAGAAAATCTGTTTACCAGCATGGTCCCGGGACTCCTGGCTTTTGTGCCTGCTGATTTGTTTACATAGCATAGCACTGAAGGAACTTTGTCAAAATCAACAGGCCTCATGTATGGTCTGCCTGTTTTGTGGCCCTAAAACTGCTATTGCCATGTGAGAGAGAGGCCTTATCCTCTCTGTGCTAGTGGGGATTAACAGCATAAACTGAGCAAATGTTGGCCAGGGCAGGTTCAAGGTTAGGACCTACAGTTGGCTCAATCTAACATGTGAAAATACTGTACAATGCATTCAAATAGTACTTCATACTTGTCAAAACTCAATTTCACAGTCATTGCTCTATCAGTGTCACAACTCTGATACAACACGAGGTATTAGTAGCACCATTTTACAGGTGGTCAAAGACATGAATCAGTAGTGTTCAGTAGTTCTTAGATAAAAACAAAGCTATTCTATTAAATTGACATAATAATTGCACATATTTATGGGCTACAGTGTGATGTTTTGATGCATGTTTACAATGTGTAATGATCAAGTCAAGGTAATGAGCATATCATCACCTCAAACAATTTTCATTTCTTTGTGTTGGGAACAGTCAAGATATCCTCTTCTAGCTATTTGAAAATAAACAAACAAAAAAAATGATTGTTGGCTATAACCACCCTACAGTGTTATAGAACACCAGAACTTATTCCTCCTGTCTAGTTGTACTTTTGTATCCGGTAACCAACCTCTGGCTATCCACCCCTCGCTGTTACCCTTCTCAACCTCTGGCAACCACTATTCAACTCTCTACTTCTATGAGATCAGCGATTTTAGCTTCCACATATGAATGAGAGCAGGCAGTATTCTTCCCCACTTCTTCTCACTGCCCCCACTACCCTTCTCAGCCTCTAGAAGCCATTCTTCTACTCTCTACCGCCATGAATACAATTGTTTTAATTTTTAGCGTTCACAAATGAGTGAGAACAGTGTGAAGTTTGTCCTTCCGTGCCTTGTTTATTTCACTTACTATAATGTCCTCTAGACTCATCCATGTTGCCTCGTATGACAGGATTTCGTTCCTTTTTATGCTGAAAAGTATTCTTTTGTGTATAAACACCACATTCTTAATTCATTCATCTGTTGATGGAAAGCTAGGCTGATTTCATGTCTTGGCTGTTGTGAATAGTGCTGCAATGCACATGGGAGGGCAGACAGCTTTTTGACATACTGATTTACTTTCCTTTGGGTTCATACCTAGTAGTGGGATTGCTGGGTCATACAGTAGTTCTAGTTTTAAGGACAAAGCTATTATTGATGATTCTTAATAATAGTCAGGCTTGCTTTGGCTAAAGAATGAATTCTCTCAAGGGTGTCAGTTAAGTCACAAAGAATTAAGAATGATAAAGTTATCAAATGATGATATTTACCATGTTACCAGGTAACAGGGGAAGAATCATTAATGCCAGGAGGCATCCTCAGAACTAGAACAGTTAATTCAGCAGATCCTTCAGGAATCTGGAGTCATAGCAACCACGACAAGGTTCATGATTGATTGATTGCAAAATGGGCCTAATCCTCCAACCTTTCCTGCACCCAAGCCCCCTGCAACACGACTTTGCAGCTCCTTCCACTGAGGCGAAGCCTGTTTCTCCCCTCTTGAATCCCTGTCCAATACTGTTTTCCCACTTCCACTTTGATACAACGCCACTCCCAGGAAACCTTTTGCATTCTTATTTCGGTCTCAGCACTTCAGACTCCAACTTGTAACACTAGGAATACAAAAATAAATAAGATAGGCTGACAGTCCCTGCTTTTAAGGAAAGCAAATAAATGTTTGTAGAATAAAATGTTTTAAAAAAAAAGAGTATCATTTCCTGTGTTCTGATACTCTAGTTATATTTTCAGAAACCAAACTAGGATGTAAAGATCTATAACTTCAAATGAAGACATCAGGACCTAAAACTGAGGTGTATAAACTTTCTATGGTTGTGAAACTTGGATTTTTAAAAATAAGCCTTGTGTTATTCTGTCTTCACATTGCTATAAAGAACTACCTGAGACTGGGTAATTTATGAAGAAAAGAAGTTTCATTGAATCATAGATCTACAGGTTTAACAGGAAGCATGACTGGGAAGCCTCAGGAAACTTACAATCAGGGCAGAAAGCAAAGGTGAAGCCAGGCACATCTTACCGTGATGGAGCAGGAGAGAGTGAGCGAGCGAGCGGGGAGGTGCCACACTTTAAAACCAACAGATCTCCTGAGAACTCACTCACTATCACGAGAACAGCACGCAGGAAATCTGTCCCCATGACCCAGTTGCCTCCCACCAAGCCCCTCCTCCAACATGTGGGGATTACAGTTCAAAATGGGATTTGGGTGGGGACAGAGCCAAATCACATCAGGCTTCCAAAGCAAGGTCAAATTATCTTCACTTGAGTAATCAGATATCATCACTTAATATAACCTTTACCTACTTCTGGACAAAAATGTAGTGTCTTTGCATTGTCCAGAAAATACCATGGTCACTGACCACCTTCTTTTATAATACATCTTTGCCTTCTTCAGCTACGAATATTTAAATCAAATTGGCAAATTATGCCACCAAGGACACTGAAAAAAATGTAGACAAGGACTCTATTTCACCAGGGCAATGATCCCAGGGGAAGCTTCCAGTTCAGGCAAATTCATGAGCTGGGACTGTCTCCCGGTTATGTTACCTTCAAATCAGAACTGATCCTGTCTTTGTAGCAACATATACATTTATCCTGTCAACCTGGCAAAATTGCTTGAATACCTACTATGTAAAAAGTGTAGGCATCATTGCATTGTACAGCAATACGTGCAGCAATATGAAAGAAACAAATATAGACCAGGCATGGTGGCTCACGCCTGTAATCCCAGCACTTTTCAGAGGCCAAGTGGGCATATCAGCTAAGGTCAGGAGTTTGAGACTAGCCTGGCCAACATGGCAAAACCCCATTTCTACCAAAAATACCAAAAAAAAATTAGCCTGGTGTGGTGGCACCTGCCTGTAATCCCAGCTACTCAGGAGGCTAAGGCAGGAGAATCACTGGAACCCGGGAGGCAGAGGTTACGGTGAGCTGAGATAGCACCACTGCACTCCAGCTTGGGTGACAGTGTGAGACTCAGTCTCAAAAAAAAAGAAAAGAAAAGAAACAAATATAGAAACACCATCTATCTGGCATAAGAAGGCAAAGAAGTACACCAAAAAAGATAATTTGTCAAGGAACCGAAGCTTATGAGTTTGAGCACCAGAATCCAACCAACTCCACATCCCCACTGTTACCACCTGGGCCACCATCCCTTGCCTGTAGATCTGTAAAATCTCCCAACCACTCTCCTCCACCTACGCAATCCTTGGGAGGCCAGAGAGGATTTGAGTCAGATCATGCCAGTCCTCTTGTTAAGACTGTCCAATGGTGCTCCAGTTCTCTCCACGTAAAATCTGGCAGGCCAGGGATAAAGCCAAAGCTCCACTACATCCTGCTACGGTATCCTAGCCCCTGGTCATGCCAACGGTGGGCATGAAAAACCAAGTTGCTTCACAACTTATGCAGCCAAAAAGCCCCACAGCTCACTGGTTGGGTTTCTCTCCAAGTTTCGCACCCTGTTCTTGCTAGATTTCTGCTCACTATTCTAGACTGCAATGGGCCATAGGACCCACACTCCTGCTCCCATCTCCATGAGTTTACTCCCAGTAAGGGCTCCTCTAGCAGCTTGGGGGTGGGTAAAAATGGGGCCTATGTGCTTTTATATAGAGCAGTGCTTATCATTTTTTAGCTAAGGCATGTAGAGATTTTGTGATCACCCTGTGTGTCCCTAAATATATCCACGTAAAGCAGAAATCAGAGTCTACCTGACAACTATGGTGGACATTGGAGGCTCTTTCGTGTTTCTCGTCAACAAGTGACATTTCTTCCACCCGTCAGTTACACTGTTGGTGATTTTTCTTTTCCACAGGGGCATTCTGTTGGGCTTTGGGGTCAGATTAATCTCTTTTGGCAATTCATGTCTTGCTAAGATTCTTTCCAAGCCAGAGAGCTCAGGATTCTCACCTGGTAATAGAATAAGCATTAATACATTCAATGTTCCTCTCCATCTTTGCATAGCAAGAGTTAACAAGGCAGATTTGAAAACACATATATGCAGCTTGATAATCCCTATTTAGCTTTGTCATTCCTTTATTCCAACAATATTACTGGGCACCATTTAGATCTTAGCCTGGTCCTAGACATCTAGCAGATACATTGTAAGTAAATAAAAGAATGAACAAGGCCAGGCATGGTGGCTCACGCCTGTAATCCTAGCATTTGGGAGGCTGAGGCGGGCGGATCATGAGGTCAGGAGATCGAGACCATCCTGGTTAACATGGTGAAACCCCGTCTCTACTAAAAATATAAAAAATTAGCCGGGCGTGGTGGCGGGCGCCTGTAGTCCCAGCTATTCGGGAGGCTGAGGCAGGAGAATGGTGTGAACCCGGGAGGCGGAGCTTGCAGTGAGCTGAGATCCGGCCACTGCACTCCAGCCTGGGCGACAGAGCGAGACTCCGTCTCAAAAAAAATAAAAAAATAAAAAAGAATGAACAAACAAGCAAACAAGCAGGCAGGCTGGAACCACACAAATAGAGTTGGTTATGTGTGCATTCTCAAACTAAGGGCAAGTTACATACAATTATTATTATTATTGTGATTCTTATTTTCCCTTTAATTGCATACTTAATTGGAGATGCACATTTTGAAGCTTCCCGGAAGAAATAGGGTGAATGTTAACATTACTGTCAGGCCACGTAACTTGGGGCCCCCTTTTATTGGTGATTTTGCCTGAGCAAGGGTTACAACATGGATGGAACTGAAAACAACAGCATGCTCTGTCAGTTAGAATGTGGGAGTGTAACTTACTGTTCTTTTTGATTCCACAAAATTCATTTCTGGCCAGAAATGAACTGTTTTTTCTCGCTCTATTATAAGTGTGTCTATTTTCAGCTATGTCAGTGGGAAATGCCTGCCTTCTTTTGGGTGTTCCAATAACTGAGACTTGAGGTTTGGATTGTTGCAGCCTGCTGTAGGAACTCTGGATGGCCAGTGGCACAGTTACAACGCATGGTAGAGCCGCTTGGAGATGAAGTCAATACCAGAGGGGCTTAGATCCTGTGTTATCAGAAATGGAATAGCATCCCTCCCTGGTCAGCCAGCACCTCCGTGAGAGCTCCAGGATGGAGTGCAGTGGTGCAATCATACCTCATTCCAGCCTCGACCTCCTGTGCTCAAGCGATCCTCTGACCTCAGCCTCCTCAGCAGCTGGGACTACAGGCATGCACCACTACACCCGGCTAATTTTTGTTATTATTTGCAGAGATGAGGGTCTCATTTTGTTGCCTAGGTTCATCTCATTCCCAGCTTCATGTGATCCTCCTGCCTCAGCCTCCCAAAGTTAACTTTATATTTAAAATACAAAAGAAAAACCTGGGGTTTTTTTTTTGTTTTTTGGTTTTTTTTAAATTACGGGTGTTTAGTTCTTTTTCTTTCTTCCTTCACGTAATCATTTCTGGGTAACCAATATACAGTAATATAGGCAAAGCATCCTTCAGGAGAAGAGGAGATTGACAGGAAAAGGAACAAAACCTATTTTTAAGGTCAAAAGAAATTTCTTCTGGAAGGAAGGCCTTCGACCCAGCAGCAGCAAGACAGCAGTCTCCATGTTTAAATTCTGGGTCTGATGGATGAAAGTCAGAGAAATAGGGCCATGTCTGCAGGATGCATATGCAAGGAAATCACTATATGTTTGGAAATGGCATCTTGGCAATGGAGCAAACTTTTAGTGATGAATTCAAGACCTCAAAGGCCAATGTGTTCCCAATGACTGACTGGACTCAGCCTGAGGCCAGGTCCCTGAAGGCACAAACTCAGGACTCGGAGGGGTCATTTCTTACCTCTTAATGCCATTCACCTCAGCCACATGAACCTCCTTAAACTGGCTTCCAACCATAGCAAAGAATCACTGCACCCAAATACCTCTGAAACAAAGGCACCCCGCTGCTGCTTGGCAGTTGCACATGGCAGGAATTACCAGCTGCTAAACGTGTATGGACGTCTATCGCTGTCTACATTGGGAGGCTACGGAGACAACATCTAAATCTACATAGAATGGGAATGTCTCTAGAAAATCAAAACCCATTTCTCCAACTTCACATAAATAATTACTGCATTTTTCAATGTTAATGTTGCATTTTAATTACAAAAGTAAAAGGTTTCCATTGGAATAATTAAAATGAAACAACTCAGCAAAGTCTACACAGTAAAAAGGGGAAGTTTTGCTTCGTTTTCCTTCTCCAAGCTCTATCCTTTCTCTGGAGGTAGCCGCTGTCCTGAATTTCCTAAGTCTCCTTCAAAACTCTTTCCTATGCATTTATAGACACATATATATATATGTACACATGTAGAGTTTTCTTTTGGCATACATGGATCTACACTGTGTATCTTCCTTTGCAGCTTCTTACAACTCTAGAATATGTGCTGGAGATATGTTAATGTCAACCTTCTTTTTAACAGCATTCTACTGTATGGATATATGCCTTTATTTAATTATTCAGCTACTGGATGTCATAGGTTGTTTAAATTTTTAACTATTATAGACAATGTTTCAGTGCACGGCCATGTTTATCTATTTTTGTGCTCAGGTACAAGTTATTTCTGTAGGATAATAACTGGAAGTGGAATTGCTAAGTTGAAGGACATGTACATGTAACAGGATGTGAAAATATACCTTTTTCTGTTGGGTCTGTTTTCTCCAAGGCCCCAAAGTCTGAGAAAACTCGAGTAGGTGCCAGACACCTATTCATGCACAAGACATCCATCCATATGTGAAAAAACGGAGCATTCATTCAGGATTCCTTGAGGCACTTGAGGATTTCTTTAGGCACAGAGCTGGGACAGTGCTGTGTACTATGTCATTCCCCTTCCCGCTCTTGGCTTTAAGGGGACTTTAGAGAAGTATCTGGGGAATGGGACTATGTCTCCTGACACTGGTGCGTCAGTCTCCTAGGGCTGTCGTAACAGTACCACAAAGGGGGTCGCTTAAAACAACAAATTCATTGTTTCACAATTCAGGAGGCCGGAACTCAGAAATCAAGGTGGCAGCAAGGCCGTGCTGAAGCCTCGAGGGGAGAATCTGTCTTTGTCTCTAGTTTCTGCCTGCAATCCTTGGTGTCCCTGGACTGTGGATGTGTCGCTCCCATCTCTGTCTCTACTGTCACAAGAGATGTCTCTTTCTTCTTATAAGGACACCAGTCATACTGGATGAAGAACCCTCTCTATACATATTATGACCTCATCTAAGTTTAATTACTTCTGCACCCTGTAAAGACCCTATTTCCAAATCTAGTCACATTCTGGGCCCCTGGGAGTTAGGACTTCAATGTGTCTTGTTGAGAGACAATATATGTTGTTGAGGGACATCTATGTGTTTTGTTGAGCCCATAACACCTGGAAACATAATGGTGAGTGGCTGGGATCACAGCTGCCTGTGGCCAAAGAGAAAAGAGGGCAGTGTTGGACGCCAACTGTGCTTTCATTAAACGGGTGAAGGTGTGGGGAGCAAGGGCACAGATTTTCTATGAGCTAAATGTAAACCCCAGCTGGGCTTGGTGGCTCACGCCTGGAATCCCAGCACTTTGGGAAGCCGAGGTGGGTGGATCACTTGAGGTCAGGAGTTTGAGACCAACCTGGCCAACATGGCAAAACCCTGTCTCTACTAAAATTCAAAAATTAGCCAGGTGTGGTGGCACATGCCTGTAATCCCAGCTACTCGGGAGGCTGAGCCAGGAGAATCGCTTGAACCCGGGAGGCGGAGGTTGCAGTCAGCTGAGATCACACCACTGCACTCCAGCCTGGGCAACAGAGTGAGACTCTGTTTCAAAACTAAAGAAACTAACTAAATAACTAACTAAATAAATAAAAATGTAAACCCCTTAGAAAATACAGTTGACCCTTGAATAACATGGAGGTTAGGGGCTCTGACCCCTGCCCAGTTGAAAATAAGCATATAAGTTTCTTTTGTTAAAGAGTCTTGGCTGGACGCGGTGGCTCACGCCTGGAATCCCAGCACTTTGGGAGGCCGAGGCGGGTGGATCACAAGCTCAAGAGATCGAGACCATTTGGCCAACATGGTGAAACCCCGTCTTTACTAAAAATACAAAAATTAGCCGAGAGTGGTGGCGCATGCCTGTAATCCCAGCTACTCGGGAGGCTGAGACAGAGAATTGCTTGAACGTGGGAGGTGGAGGTTGCGGTGAGCCAAGATCACGCCATTGCACTCCAGCCTGGGCAACAAGAGCAAAACTCCGTCCCCCCAAAAAAAAAAAAAAAAGTCTTGCTATGTTGCCCGGGCTGGTCTCAAACTCCTGGGCTCAAGCGATCCTCCTGCCACAGCCTTCTGAGTAGTTGAGCATGGTAGTCTAGCACCTGTACCACGCCACCACATCCAGCTACTTTTTTGACTTTTGATTCACTCAAAACTTTTACTAATACCTACTGTTGACCGGAAGCCTTACTGTTAACATAAACCGTTGATTAACACATATTGTAAATGTTATATGCATTATACATCACATTCTTAACGTAAGCAAAAAAATGTCATTAAGAAAATCATGGCCAGGCGCAATGGCTCATGCCTGTAATCCCAGCACTTTGGGAGGCCGAGGTGGGTGGATTGCTTGAGGTCAGGAGTTCAAGACTAGCCTGACCAACATGGGAAACCCCATCTCTACTAAAAATACAAAAATTAGCCGGCCATGGTAGCGGGTGCCTGTAATCCCAGCTACTTGGGAGGCTGAGACAGAGAATCACTTGAAATCAGGAGGTGGAGGTTGCAGTGAGCCAAGATAGCACCACTGCACTCCAGCCTGGGAGACAGAGCAAGACTCTGTCTCAAAAAAAAAAAAAAAGAAAAGAAAATAATAAGGAAAAGAAATACATTGACACCACTGTATTTATCAATACTATAAGCTTACACCATCTGTTTACAAGAAAAATTGTCTGTCTGAAGTGGCAGGCAACTATTCAATATACAGTACATATCAAGCAACTCAACTTTTTCTTACAACATCCTGACTTTTCGCTGCTTCTTGGGAGTACTTCCAGCATCACTAATGGCACTTTGTGTGGGTCCCATGGTGTTATTCAAGTTTTATGGTATTGCACTAAACACAAAAAAATGCATGAGAACTGTGAAATCACTTTACTGTGATATGTAATTTACTAGAGAGATGAGCTGCTCACACAGAGATGACTGGCATCACATGGCATTTTAAGTGGCTATTCACACCACTTGAGTTCACAGCAAGAGCAACGGGAGGTGGCTATGAAATTACTACAGCACTACGGTATTGCTACAGTTACTTTTCTACAGTTAGGATTTAATACTGCATCTTTTTTTTTTTTTTTTTTTGAGGTGGAGTTTTGCTCTTGTTGCCCAAGCTAGAGTGCAATGGCATGATCTCAGCTCACTGCAGTATCTGCCTCCCGTGTTCGAGACAGTCTCCTGCCTCAGCCTCCTGAGTAGCTGGGATTATGGGTGCCAACCACCACACCTGGCTACTTTTTGTATTTTTAGTAGAGACTGGGTTTCAGCATGTTGGCCAGGCTGGTCTTGAACTCCTGCCCTCAGGTGATCTACCCCCTCGGACTCCCAAAGTGCTGGGATTACAGGCATGCGCCACTGCGCCTGGCCTAATACTGCATCTTTATTCTCATTTACATTTCCCTTGACTGTGAATGACACCAAATACTGTCTGTAAGTGCTTGTGTAAGTTTTTATAAATTTTAACTTTTCCTAATAGGTTTGTGTACATTTTATGGTAGTAAATGATAAAGTAGACTAGTATCTACATATATTCTATGCAGTCACGACATTCCTTTTTCTTTTTTTTTTTTTTTTTGAGTCTCACTCTGTTGCCCAGGCTGGAGTGCAGTGACACAATCTCAGCTCGCTGCAAACTCCACCTCCCAAGTTCAAGCAATTCTCCTACCTCAGCGTCCCAAGTAGCTAGGATTACAGGCGTGTACCACCACACCCGCCTAATTTTGTGTTTTTAGTAAAGAGAGGGTTTCACCATGTTAGTCAGACTGGTCTCGAACTCCTTACCTCAAATGATCCACCCGCCTCAGCCTCCCAAAGTGCTGGAATTACAGGCATGAGCCACCATGCCCACCACCCTAATTTTTTCTTAATTTTTTGTTATTTCTGGACTATATGATTGGTCTACAAATTTTTTCAAATTGTGGCAAATCTTCAAAAAAATTTCCAACATATTTATTGAAAAAAATCCACCTATCATGGACCAGAGAGAGACCTTGGGGTATATACAGAAGGATATCTTTATTATCGAGTGCACTTAGACCCAGCAGATTTAACGTCCAAAGACTGGGCGCAGAACAAAGACAGTACTTGACTTTTATACTTCATAAAAGGGGGTGGGCTAGCTTGAAGCAAGCTTACAGTGGCGTGAAAGTAGGGATAGAGAGGCAGGATAAAGACAGTTAATTAAGTTGTAACAGGTTCATAACTCAGGATTACACATGATCATTACCAAGCAACCCAATGTCTGTTATCTAGATTTTGCCTACGCATGGGCTTACCCTATAACCTTCATTATGGCGCCCAGGTGGTCACAACTCAGGCCTATTTAGAGGCTCATGACCTTCACTCTACTGCTTAGACAAAACAGAATTACTTTAAGTTATTATTTACAGAGAACAGGAATCTATAAACTTATTCCATAAAACAAAGGAAAATTTGTTTTTCTTCTCCCTGTGTTGAGGGAGTGCTGGGAATTTCCAGAGCACATTAGATAGTATTACTAAAACTTTTTCTGGGTCTGGGCTGTGCCTGTTGCTGCCTTTGGGAAAAGTCAGCCTAATCCAGGAAAGTTTATTTCTTTTTTTTCGTTGATTTTATTTTTCTTTAATCTCCTGCCACACCATAAGTGGACCTGCACAGTTCAGATGAGCTGTTCAAGGGTCAGCTGTAGTCGTTTGGCGCCTGCTTGAATAGGAGGATCTCAGGAGGGTTTCCGTCAAAAGATGATGCAATTTCCGTTGAAATAGGATGGAAGTGAATCTTACAAAAGCTGGGGAAGGCGGTGCTATGGTCTGATGTTCATGCCCCTCAAAATTCATATGTTAAATCCTAACCTCCAAGGTGACGGTATTACATGGTGGGTAGGCCTTTAAGAGGTGATCAGGTCATGGGGGCGGTGCCTTATAAACTAGGCCTGAGAGAGATACCCACCCCTAACCCCTTCGGCTACATGAAGACGCAGCAAGAAGGTGCCATCTATGAACCAGAAAGTTGTCTCCAAACATGGTATCTGCCTTGATTTGAGACTTCCCAGCCACCAGAACTATGAGAAATAAATTTTTCTGTTTATAAGCTACCCAGTCTATAGTATTTGTTGTTATTTTTGTTTTTTTGAGACGGAGTCTACCTCTTGTCGCCCAGGCTGGAGTGCAATGGCACGATCTCGGCTCACTGCAACCTCCACTTCCTAGGTTCAAGCGATTCCCCTGCCTCAGCCTCCCGAGTAGTTGGGATTACAGGCACCTACCACCACGTCCGACTGCTTTTTGTATTTTTAATTGAGATGGGGGGGTTTCACCATGGTGGCCAGGCTGGTCTTGAACTCCTGATCTCAGGTGATCTGCCCATCTTGGCCTCCCAAAGTGCTGGGATTACAAGCGTGAGCTACGGCTCCTGGCTTCGGAATTGCATCTTAATCTCTGTGGCAGCTGCTATTTTGTTTTCTAAGTTCATGAGCACAGGTGGCTGCCTCTACCTTTGTCTTCCACTTAAGCAGGAACAATTTAGGAAGCAGACTCCACCCAATGCTGCAAATTGGCCCCATTATCAATGACCCCGACAGAATTTCAGGAGTGGCAGGCCACTCCAAACTGCACAAAGTACAGGTTGCTTATAATCCCCAGGAGAAAAGAAAATATCCAGCTTCTTCGTGGTGCAATCATGGCCATAGGAGGAAGGACTAGCAGGAAACAGAGCAAAGGAACAAAGTTCAAAGCCTGCCCTCTTTCCACGTGGAAGTTCTCTCCCTAATCTTAAAATCAAATATAAAGCTTAAATTGTAAATTGAGCAGCATTTCCCGCTCAGTACCCTTTCCATTTTCCCACAGGTAAGCTTTGCCTAAAGAAGAGGGTCAGGCCTGGCCGTGCGCAGTGGCTCACGCCTGTAATCCCAGCACTTTGGGAGGCTGAGGCAGGCAGATCACGAGGTCAGGAGATCGAGACCATCCTGGCTAACTCAGTGAAAACCCATCTCTACTAAATATACAAAAAAAAAAAAAAAACTAGCCGGATGTGGTGGCGGGCACCTGTAGTCCCAGCTACTCAGGTGCCTGAGGCAGGAGAATGGCATGAACCCAGGAAGCGGAGCTTGCAGTAAGCTGAGATTGCGCCACTGCACTCCAGCCTGTGTGACAGAGACAGACTCTGTCTCAAAAAAAAAAAAAAAAGAAGAGGGTCAGGCCTAACTTGGCTCACAAAAGACTATTTATGCAAAAGGAACATGAAGAAGCAATGGATAATCAGCACATGAGTATATTCTGGAATAAGCTTGGAAGCCCATGGATGGGCACATGTGTCTAGAGGACCAATCACCCCGACAATGTAAAGAACGAGTTCTGACCGGGTGCAGGGGATCCCACCTCGAATTCCAGCACTTTGAAGGCAAAGGCGGGCGGATCACTTGAGCTTGGGAGTTTGAGACCAGCCCAGGCAACATGGCGGTGTGGGGGCTGGGGGCATCTCTACAAAAATTTAAAAATTAGACATGGTGGTGGCAATGCACCTGTAGTCCCAGCTACTGGGGAGGTCGAGGTGGAGGATCACATGAGCCCAGGAGTTTGAAGCTGTGGTGAGCCATGATTATTGCACTCCTGCACTCCAGCCTGGGGGATAAAGCGAGAGCCCCATCTCAAAAAATAATAAAAAGAAACTAAGTAAAATAAAGAGTAAAAGTTCTTACTTACGGCTTAAAGTAGAGGCAGTTTGTATCAAGATAAAGTGTATGCTTATTGAAAAGAACTCATGCCCACCCTCCACCCACATACATTTTTTCTTGTCCTCTTCACTCCTGTATGAATAAAGCGTCTCCATTAGGTGATTAGGAAGCAGCTTGTGGAGGTTGGACAGTGTGTCAAACGTGTGACACAAAACTTCTGGCTGGGCATAGTTTTTCGGCTTCTTACACTTGTCAAGGAGTGAAAATTTCATCATGCTGGAGCTGCTGCTGGCTGTTCTCATGATACCGGTTGCATCACAGAGAAGAACAAACTGAGAACATGAGGAGTGGAGGGATGTGCAATTGTTCTCCTGGCAAGCTTTCCTCCATCTCAAAGACGCTTTGAGATCTCTTACTGCCTGGCATTCCGAGAGTCACAATGGCCCAGGCATTGGTCCGGAACCCTGAGTGCTCATCCTACGTTTTCAAAGCAGACAAAACCAGCCCATTGAAAATATCCTGCCATTCAGGGATTTTTGGCAGAAACTCCAGTCTTGTGTCTGGACATGGACCATTTCTGGGGAAAACTGAGAGCTTTGCTAAAAGGAAGAGGGGAAAGTGGGGGCGCGCATATCCGGTGATATTTTCCCATCTGGTACTTTGTAGAAGCCTTGCTCCCAGTATGTACCTAATTAAGGCTCCACAGACCTACCAGGCCCAAAGAGAGAGTGGTTACATCAGTGCAGTCCTCAGCATAACCGAGGAAAGAGCTTCATCGTCCAAAACTGAGCAAATGCCCAGATTAACACAGGTAAGAAGCCAAACTGCTTCTTATGTTCTTATCCAAACTAATACCAAGAAAACAAAGTAAACAAATGCTCAACTGGAGCTTTCCCGGTAAGAAGCCATTCTTCATTGTAGACCAAAACACACAGAACAATAGAAGTATTAAATCTTAAATCACCACACCTGATAGCACAGCCCAGCGCAAGATAGAAGCGGCTAAGAACTACTATCAGATTTAGAACAAAAATGCAAATAATAGAGTTTGTTACAGCTGCTTTTAGATTTCAGCATGCTTTACCAGGAGCCAGGTTCCCTGTAATTGTTCTACTCTTCATGAACCAGCTAGAGAAGCACATTGCAGGCTGGTGAGAAGCAGAGAAGGCGTGTGAGCCTAGCATGCTATGGCAAATCTGGGAGCTTGGACCAGCTTTTCACCAACCTTAAAAACATTTGGCCAAGACTATTAAAGCATCATTATTATACCATACGACACATTAGTGGCCAGAGCGGCAAATATAAAATTCCATTCATATATGCATACGTATAGATCTATAGATGTATTTTTTTTTTTTTGAGATGGAGTTTTGCTCTTGTTGCCCAGGCAGGAGTGTAATGGCGTGATCTCGGCTCACCGCAACCTCTGCCTCCCAGGTTCAAGCAATTCTCCTGCGTTGGCCTCCCGAATAGCTGGGATTACAGGCATGCGCCACCACGCCCAGCTAATTTTGTATTTTTAGTAGAGATGGAGTTTCTCCATGTTGGTCAGGCTGGTCTTGAACTCCCGACCTCAGGTGAGCCGCCCACCTTGGCCTCCCAAAGTGCTGGGTTATAGGCCTGAGCCACCTCACCCGGCTTTCTTTTCTTTCTTTTTTCCCTTCCCCTCCCCTCTCCTCCCCCTTCCCTCCCTTCCCTTCCCTTTCTTTCTCTTTCTTTTTGAGACCGAATTTTGCTCTCTGCGGCCCATGCTGCAGTGCAGTGGTGTGGTCACAGCTCACTGTAGCCTCGACCTCCTGGGCTCAAGCAATCCTCCCACCTCAGCCTCACAAGTAGCTGAGTCAGTCTATAGGTGTGCACCACTACGCCCAGCTAATTTTTGTTATTTTTATTTTGTAGAGATAGGGTCTCTCTATGTTGCCCTGGCTGGTCTCAAACTCCTGACCTCAAGCAATCCTCTTGCCTCAGCCTCCCAGAGTGCTGTGATTACAGGCACAAGCCACTATGTCTGGCCTATTCCATCTCTTAACTTTCAACTTGCAAACTCAAAAAGTCAAACTTAAAAAAAAATACTTTAAATGCAAGTACATATTTAAAATATGTTATATAACTAACAAGAACCACTTGAATTCAATGTGATTCTCATAATTTTACAGGTGTTTTTGGTGGGGAGAAGTGGGGTAAAATATTCTGGCAGCCGGAAGACATATCCCCGGCTTCTTTCTTCCAAGCAAAGCTGAGTGCATTCCTCTAAACCTTCATTTATATAAATAGCAAACAACAAACCATGTTTTAAGTAATTCAACATGCCAAGGAAGTGATCTACTAAAATGTAATTCCTTACACTTCATGTAAATTGACTCATATGTTCTTAGTCAATGCTCTCAATGACTATTCCATTGCAACTGATGGAATGTTTATAGTTATCTGATGCATGCTGACCTTGGTTGAAATCTGAAGTAGCTCACAATTATTAAATTTTGTTTTTAAATAAACTATCAGATGGATATATATTTTTTACACACACACACATATATATATATTTACAATGAATAACACTTCTAGGAATCAATCTCATTCATTTTCTCTAATTACGGTGTGATTAAAGAACACTGTTTAGGAGAGACGTGTCATGAATGACGCCTGGCAAATATTCTGCTGCTAATCAGCTGTGTGATCTTGATCTGCGCCAACCAGGCCTCAGCCCATGGTACTCATATTCCTGGATGGAACAAATGCTTTCATTTTGTATTTTGTTTTGTATTCCTCTTACTTCCAATTCTATTATTCAGTGGCTAATATATTTACCTTTTCAAAACTGGACTTTTAACATATTATTATTTTCTCCCAAGTCTTTTGTTGTTGTGATGAGAGCTGCTATGCCGGGCCAGCAGCCCACAGAGGTGCTAGCAGCGTGTTATTAATTAAATTGATCCCGCAGCGCAGCAGCTGCATGATTCTGGCTTGTTTTTCTAGTTAGGCTGATCTTTTATTCATGACTTTCAGGTAAACGCCATTCCTTTTTCTGTTCCTAAGAGGGTTTCTGTGTCTCCTGAATACCTTCTTCTTCCCCCCTGCCATGGTGGGTGTGACAAGATCAGCTGGCTTCCAGAAGGCAAGGTGTTCACTAATGTTCAAAGAGAGAAGATTATCTCCAAGTTTTTTAAGGAAAGCATTCTAAAGAAAGTGTTCCGTTCACAACAAATGAGGTGGGAGGGGTCTGACGACCAGAAAGGGACTTCAAGTTACACCTTTCCTGGCACCAGAAAGTAAGTTCTGACACTGAAACGTTAACCAAAATTGAAAGTGAATTTGTGATATAAGGCTAGGAAAATAGAGTTACAGAGTATAGGTATCTGAAAAATAGAAAGGCTTATGAAGCAATTCAAATTGCAGAAATCAAGTCTTAAATCAAAACAAAGGAGAAAATATATGATTGAGAATTTATTCAGAAGCACTAGCTGCAACATATGCAGATGTGAAATTCAGTGATTGATGTGTTTATTTTGCTTCCTTTTGGAAATATGTTCATATACATCACTATCATACGTTCTAGGAATAAATAGTTTTTTTTTTTTTTTTTTTTTTTGACTTTGGGATGGAGTCTTGCTCTGTCGCCCAGGCTGGAGTGCAGTGGCAGCTCCGCCTCCCGGGTTCACGCCATTCTCCTGCCTCAGCCTCCCGAGTAGCTGGGACTACAGGCGCCGCCACCACGCCCGGCTAGTTTTTTATTTTTTAGTAGAGACAGGGTTTCACCGTGTTAGCCAGGATGGTCTCGATCTCCTGACCTTGTGATCCACCCGTCTCGGCCTCCCAAAGTGCTGGGATTACAGGCTTGAGCCACCGCGCCCGGCCGAATAAATAGTTTTTAAACAATATTTCTTAACTATTTGCAACAAAACACTGGCCTCCCAAATAGTACATCGCTATGGGAGCAGAGTGGTAAAGGTTAATTTTTAAAACTTCAAATTAGAAATATTTGCATAGCTATTTCTTAAAAAGGAATTATACAAACACAAGAAGGTATATGTAAGATGAATGCTCATAGAATCGAGTTCTAAATCAGGATAAAGTGGCCACTACTGAAAGACAAAGCAGTTGCTCAAAAAGCAAAAACAAAAAAAAGACTAGATTGCTAAACCGTATGCTAAATACAAATTGCTCACAATTGAAATGGAATCGTTCCCATTGACTTAGCATCTTATTTGAGAACAAAACTGCATATTATTAATTAGAAACTATTGTCCTAACGTTCAGAAAATGTTACATAATATATTGAACAAGATTCTGCTGTAGGCTGGGCACAGTGGGCCACAGCTGTAATCCTAGCACTTTGAGAGGCCGACACGGGTGGACCACCTGAGGTCAGGAGTTTGAGACCAGCCTGACCAATATGGTGAAACCCCGTCTCTACCATAAATAAAAAAAAATTAGCCAGGCGTGGTGGCATGCACCTGTAGTCCCAGCAACTTGGGAGGCTGAGACAGGAGAATTACTTGAACCTGGGAGGCAGAGGGTGCAGTGAGCTGAGATTGCGCCATTGCACTCCACCCTGGGCAACAGAGTGGGACTCTGTCTCAAAAAGGAAAAGAAAAAAACTCTGCTGTACATGACCAGCCATGACCTTGGCAATTCCAAAGGGAAGAGCAAAGGAAGATGAGGACAAATGCATGGGTAATATCCAAAGGTGAAAGATACTGAAGGAGGTAGACTGAAATCGAAGCCTTTTCCCTCCAGAATAATTAGAATCTAAGTAATGTTGCTACTGACATATCTTTGCATAATTCAGGACAATGAAAAGCAATGTTATCTCAAGGTGCTTTCCAAAGTAGTTACGTGGTAGTCAATGTCATCGCCTTTGTTACAGGAGGAGAAACTCAGGTGGGCAGCAAGCCGTGCTTACTGGACTACTAAGTGACTGACCCAAGGCTTGCCTTTGTCTCCTTAGCCCGCCTCGCTTGTAATTAACGCAAGACTTTGCTAAATGCCTGAGATAGAGAGCATCTGCCTCATCCTATTGTGTTTATGAAAGAATGGTTTCACTCAGGATCAGCTACAGAGGTGCAGATTTAAAGTAAGGGAAGCTGAGGCTACCACTAAAATCTGAATCCTGGGAATGGCCATGAGATGGCTAGAGGTGCAGGGGCCAAGGGTTTGGCCCTCTGAAGATTTGCTGAAAAATCAACTTGCAAAAGGCAGAGTAATTGGGGAAAAGGCATAGATTTATTTAGCATGTGTTATACATGGGAGTGTACAGAATGAAAACTCAGAAATACAGGGGAGAGTTTCCAGTTTTATGCTTAGGTTCAACAAAGTATGGACAGCTGTGTAAAAATACGATTGGACCAAAACAGTTTGATCTAATGCTAAGAGCCTGAGCGGGGGAACCCAGCAAGGCCTGGCTCTCTAGATTCTTCTTGGCCTCTCTGAGCAGTGTTCCTTCCTTCTGGGTATGGGGCAGGGCACTCTCTGGAATGGGAGTCTTTTTGTTTGTTTGTTTTTTTGTTTTTTTTGAGACGGAGTCTCGCTCTGTCGCCCAGGCTGGAGTGCAGTGGCGCGATCTCGACTCACTGCAAGCTCCACCTCCCGGGTTCCCGCCATTCTCCTGCCTCAGCCTCCTGAGTAGCTGGGACTATAGGCGCCGCCACCACGCCCGGCTAGTTTTTTGTATTTTTTTAGTAGAGACGGGGTTTCACCGTGTTCGCCAGGATGGTCTCGATCTCCTGACCTTGTGATCCGCCCGTCTCGGCCTCCCAAAGTGCTGGGATTACAGGCTTGAGCCACCGCGCCGGGCCTGGAATGGGAGTCTTATGACCTACAGTCAAACAAGCTAGGTCACATAATTTCCTTATGGCCAGTTTTTACACAGAAAGGCAAAGGGAAAATTAGAGTAATATTTTTAGGTTTCATGGCTGGCTTTGGGAAAAAAGCATTCTGATTTCTGTAACTTGCATTGGAAAAGAGGGATTCTAGTTTCTCAGGCTAGCCTTGGAGGGAGAGTAGGACTGAGAGACAGGAGGGCAGAAAAAGGTCAGAGAAAAACTTCTGCTTCTGAGGCTATTTCCTAAGGCTTCATTTTGGGGAACTGTTTTCTGAGCCCCAACAGAAAGAAGGTGCATTTTCTTGGCCTTGGGATTGATGTTAAGCTGGGTCTGAGCTGCTGTAGAAAATGACCCACTGTCCAACCCCGTACACTGGGCCAGAGCCAGACCACACCCAAGGGTTTGGAGAGGGCACCATTTCCAAGTTGTTGCTTTCATACTTCACACCACCACGGCCGTGCACATTTAGCAATGAGGGAAGGGCCAGCCATGATTTTGATGCTGATGTCAAAGCATTTGAAAGTCTCCAGAGAAAGGAAGACCAGTTGAGTGGGGGTGATAATATGAAAGGAATGTTTTTAAGAGTAAGTTCTGTTAAGGAAAAGAAAGAATCTTAGAGGATGCATTTATGGATGACAAATCTCAGAAGGACTCTAAGGAATCAGGAATCAGTTTGAGTTCTGAAATAACAGAAAAAAGGCATGAACAGAAACATAAAGCAAGGAAGATGGGAAATGTGTAAGCCAGATATGTGGAATTCACACACACGCACACATAATTTCTGTCTCAAGAACGGGGAACATTTCCCAGCTAGATATATTTGTAGAAAGCAATAGCTGGAAATACATGAACCCCAATATTTACCCCTATTCGCAATTTTTCTAGTAATTGTAAATTGGGAAACATTACATAATACATCTAAGGCTCAGGTTACTCAATTATAAAATAGGAATAACTAGGCTGGGCTCAGTGGCTCATGCCTGTAATCCCAGCATTTTGGGAGGCTGAGCCTGGCAGACCACCTGAGGTCAGGAGTTCGAGACCAGCCTGGCCAACATGGCGAAACCCCTCTCTACTAAAAATACAAAAAATTAGCCGGGCATGGTGGCAGGTGTCTGTAATCCCAACTACTAGGGAACTAGGGAGGCTGAGGCAGGAGAATTGCTTGAACCTGGGAGGCAGAGGTTGCCATGAGCCGAGATCACATATTGCACTCCAGCCTGGGTGACAGAGCAAGACTCTGTCTTAAAAAAAAAAAAAGAAAGAAAGAAAGAAAAGAAAATAGGAATAACTAGTGGTACTTGCTTCATTGGATTATTAGGCATATACATTGGTTAATCCATATAAAATATTCAGCACTATGCCTGGCATATAGTCACCACACCATACATTTCAGAGAATACTATTTTTGCAATAATTAAATCAATTCAAACATTTATTGAGTGCCTTACCTACTACATGCCAGGCACTCTGTTAGATAGAATATGGGCAGATATCACCTTCAAGATGTTGAAAAGAAAGTGATTGAGATATTGTAAATGAATAATTATAATGTAACTAAGGGACTGTAAATAAATCATTATAATATAACCAAGTAGGGATCTTGGAGGAGATAGCAACTTACTTTTGTTTTCTTTTTCTTTTTCTTTTTTCTGTATGTTTTCTAGCAATTTACTCTTCCTGAACAATTAGGAAAAACGACTTGTGAGTTTGAACCGTATGACTAGAATTTAGCCAGCTTAAAAAAAAAAGGAGATAAAAAGGAGGTACTATTACAGGAAGAGTAACAACGATATATGCCCTGGAGGAGAGGGTTTAGGAAAATTGTAAAATGTCCGATGTGCTTGACATGAAGTGGGCGCTGGGAAGATGATGAGCAGATACCTAAAGGATGGCTGCAGAATTTGGGTTTCCTTCTTCAGGCATTAGGAGGCAGTTGAGCAGGTCTGTATTTTAGAGCAGCAGCATGGAAAACAGCCGAAGGAGGAGAGGGCCTAGAAGGGAAACCTCCAAGGAGCCTGCAAGGAATGAGGCCTGCGCAAATCTTGTCCATTCACTTACATCGATTGTGTTTCTATGACTGTGCTTCTATGTGCCCAGCAGAGTTTTAAAGGGTTGGGGATGTAGAAATGAACTAGACAGGCAAGGCCCCTGCCCACATGGAGTCTGATATTCTACAGGGGAGAGACAGGCAATACAAAAACAAACAAGTAAACAGCAACATTCTGAGGAGTACAAAGAAGAAACGAAAAACAGGGTGTCATGAAGTAGAGTAAGACAGGCGGTAGGTGGGAAGGGTTTCTTTAAAGGGAAGATCTTTCTGATGAGAAAATGGAAATGCAGAGGAAAGAGTCAGGAGTCAGGGATCAAAGAACCTGAGAAACCCTTGAAATTGTGTTCAACATGTGGTATATAAGCGCATTTTTATGGGGAGATTCTCAAAGGGGCATGGCCGTGATCTCATCCCCCCATATGATATTTAGTAATCATTTGCTGTACTTACATATAGAATTAATTTTGTTTTAAATTTTTCTCTATATCAAAAGGTGGGGGAGACAGCTATGTAGATATATCTAACTAGATATACAGATATTCTTCCCCCACCCCTCCACTTATTTCATGGAGCTGTAATAAGAGATACGCACTTAGGGGTACAAAATTGGGCTCTGTGATTTAAATGTATCCTCTACATGAAAAAAGGAAAAAATCGTCTTTTGTTCTTCCTATTGAAAGGCCGACGAGGGACCTGAAACTGACCGGATGGGCTTGGTGTCAACAAGGATGCCTCTTCTATGTTAATTAATATATTGTAGAAGCATAGATATAACCTTTATATTTTAGCGTAGTCTGGAGGGCTACGTACGGGCGGTGCTCCTGGCTTGATGTGAGCAGGCGGTGGGAGTTGAGGCGGGCGGGCCAGGCCCCGGGTCCCAGAGGCCTACTGGCCATCTTGCAGAGAGTTCAGCCTGGAAAGGCCCAGGGAAGGGCCTGGAGGCCTCCGGAAAGGCCCGGGGAGGGTCAAGGAGGCCCGAGGAGGCCCAGGAAGGCCCCAGAAGGTCCAGGACGCCGAGGGGAAAGTCAGAGAAGGCCCGGGAGGCTCAGGCTTTCCCGCGAGGCCTGGGGCTGCCTCTCCAGGCCAGGATGGCCGAGTGGGCTGCGCAGCCCCAGAGGGCGCCGTGCGGGGCGCAGGGACAGGGCCTGAGGCTGGTTGTCCTCCCCTGGCGGCGGCGTGCGTCCCGCGGGCTCGGCAGCCGGGTGACCCCCGAGAGGCTCTGCGCCTGGGCGGCCGCCGGCGACCCCGCGGCCCGCGAATACCGGTGGACCTGGTGGAACGCGAGGCCTCGCGGGGCGCCCCCGCTCTCTGGTAGTTGCCGGGAGACCCGGCCGGTGGGGAAGCCCGCGGAGCCGCAGCCCCGGCCCCGGCGCCGGCAGGTCTCTCTGGGCCCCGCCTGGGCCCTGGGCCCGACTCCCACCCCTGCGCCGGCCCGCGGGCTTCGCAGTCCCTACACCGCCGACCCGGCTGCGCTCGAGGCCGCCCGCCGCCCTCTCTGTCCCCCGCTGCAGGAAGGCCGAGGCAGAGGGGGCGCCCTCCAAGCCGTCAGCCACGCACGCGGAGGCGCTGGGGCCTCGGGGCGGCGCACCAGGAGAGAACGCCGGGGAGGACACTGGGGCCTTCGGCGAGGTGGGGTAAGAGCCCCGGCACCGGGGAATCCCGCACCCCCTCCTGCTACCCCTGGAACTGGGCTCCCCACCCAGTCCGGCCACAGCTCAGGAGGAAAAGGCGATTCCTCTTCCCGGGGGCCTCGCAGCTCCCTGAGACACGCGCCTTCACGCACTCCAGCCCCTAAAGCTCCTGTCCCCCAGCTCGCAGTACCCAAGGCGTCCTTTGTCCCCAGGGCCGTCCCTCGGGTGCGGTGCCCTTGTCCAGGAACTGGATGCCCTCCTCCTTGACACACCCCCAGTGGCCCCAGGCAGCGCCACCTGCTCAGCCACGCCTTCCCCCTGCATTCAAACCCAGTGTCTGGCGTGCACACACCCGGTGGACCAATACCGGCGTTGGCTGAAAACCTCCCTAAACTAAATCTCCCATTTCTTCCTACACTTTTCAGTAGGGGACAATCAATTGTAAACGATTAGCAGATAGACCGATTAGTGCGGTGGCTTTAATTTGTGATTCTTAGCCAGGCGCAGTGGTTCACGCCTGTAATCCCAGCACTTTGGGAGGCTGAGGCGGGTGTATCACGAGGTCAGGAGTTCAAGACCAGCCTGGCCAACATGGTCGCTTGAACCCGGGAGGCAGAGGTTGCAGTGAGCCGAGATCGCGCCACTGCACTCCAGCCTGGGCAACAAAGCGAGACTGTCTCAAAAAAAAAAAAAAAAAAAAAGTTATTCTTTCCAGATAGCCATACCTTAATGCAGTGACTGTTTTGCTTGTTACCTTAGAGTTCTCTAATTCTTTTACTTTAAACAGCAGTGGGTTAAAACGTTTTAGGTACCTTGACTCATTGGTGTGGAAAATATAGTTTGGTCCTGGGGGCGATTTGGTGTCTCCGAAATATGCACGAGGTGCTTGCCTGGCCTAATTGTAAGGGCTCAGTCCTGCTTTCAAACGGAGCAATTGTTTTGAATGATTAAAAGGAGACTTTGTGCCCCTGTTTTCTAAGTTCTGGATAATTCACCATGGTTTGTTTCAATTTGTATTTCATCTTCTTAGCTGGTATTTGCTTTCTCACCTCTGATCCGGATTTCCTCATCTTCTGTTCTGAGATCGGCTAGTTTGCTGTTGTCTGTGCTCCTTTTGAGTCAGGCTTGCCCCTTGTTTTTGGTTGGTTTGGTACTGTCACCCTCACCCTGCTCATCTAGCCCCTCTCTTCTGCTGTCTAAGCATTCTCTTACCTCCTTTAGATGGGAAATCAAAACTCACACTTCTTCTTTTTTATAAATATTGACCCTTACTCATACATGTGCCTGTCCCACAATCTGTATAGGATTTTAAGGAAACAGAGCAGCAGCTACAACAAAATGGGGAGAAGAAATGAGACCTGTGGTAACAGCCTACGTGTGTCAAACATCTCTCAGGAGGTATGGCAGGCGCTGTTGAACTTGAGTGTTTGGGCAGCGGCTCCTGTTGCTAAGACAACTCCCTTGGAGTTTTCTTGCAGTGATGTCCTTGCTGCTTTTGCATCGTGGGCAGTTTATCCTGTGTTTTCCTTTTGGCACGTTTGGAACGGCAAATGGAAATTTTCTATTTCTTTTAACAAAGGAAAAATTAGCCAGCTCTTCTCCAAATGTCAAACATTTCAAGTTGCAATTTGGCTTCATTAAAGGTGCTACCTTGTTATCCACCAGGCAGTGCTCACTTCCTTTGTTTTCACACACACACCCTTTGTGAAAAATATTGGTAAGGCAGGTGGGATATCACAAAGCATAATCAAGTCCCAACTCTTAAGAAATTTGCACACTGTCAGACTTCATGTTTAGTTAATGAGCCTTCTTTACCAGTTGATCAATTTGGTTATGTTAATTTTTTTTGTTGTTTTTGGTTTTTTTTGTTTGTTTTGGAGACAAGGCAGTCTTCCTCCAGGCTGCAGTGCTGTGGCAGGATCTCGGCTCACTGCAGCCTCCATCTCCCAGGTTCAAGCGATTCTCCTGCCTCGGCCTCCCGAGTAGCTGGGACTACACGCATGTGCCACCACGCCGGCTAGTTTTTGTATTTTCAGTAGACACATGTTGGCCAGGCTGGTCTGGAACTCCTGACCTCAAGTGATCCACCCGCCTTGGCTGCCCAAAGTGCTGGGATTACAGGTGTGAGCTACCCATGCCTGGCCTGGTTACATTCATTTTATTTTATAATTGCAACAACACAGTTTCATCAACTGAGGATGTTTCTTTCACATGTTCATTTCATACAAGAGTACCAGGATTTATATAGCTGAAAAAAGCTTAAAAATCCACCAGATATCGTAAAAAGGTTTGAAGGGGCACATCTCACACATGAATGTAAAAACCCAGTCATCATGCTGTGAACTACAAAAGGATCTTTTAAATACAAATAACTGGGCCTCACCCTCATTCTTTTTTTTTTTCCTTTTTTGGAGACGGAGTCTCACCCTGTCACCCAGGCTGGAGTGCAGTGGCACTATCGCAGCTCACTGCAACTTCTGCCTCTCGGGTTCAAGCGATTCTCCCCTCAGCCCCCCGAGTAGCTGGGATTACAGGCGCCCGCCACCACACCCAGCTAATTTTTGTATTTTTAGTAGAGATGGGGTTTCACCAAGTTGGCCAGGCTGGTCTAGAACTCCTGACTTGAGGTGATCTGCCCGCCTCGGCCTCCCAAAATGCTGGGATTACGGGCTTGAGCCACCGCGCCCGGCCCTCACCGTCATTCTTTAAAATCAGGATTTTTTTCCTCAACAATTATTTTTAAAAACCTCCCCAGGTGATGATTCTCAGGTAGAGATTAGCCCTTGTACATATCATGCCAGAGAGCAGAGTATTAGTTGTATTATATTTTTCATATATCTGTAGATAAAGATAATCTGCAGCCTCCCTTCCAATGTTCAACTACCCTTCCGATCAGGAGATATCTCTTTGTGGATAAATTAAATCCTCATGCTGTTTTGAAGCTTATTTCTCTCTGTTCCTCCTTAATGAAGAGATTGTATCTAATAATACCTAACATTTCATTTGCTTAGAGTTTCATTTACAATGCTTTTTTGAGACAGAAAACAATTCGGTTTATTCCTAAAAAGTTACTTTCTTATAAACGAATCGCCTCTTCACTTTCTGTTTTCCAGAATAAATTGTTACAGTCTTGTACACACCTGCCACATTTTCCTCCCTAGTGCTCTGCACCTTGTCTGGAACATAAATACTCTGTTATTAGTACATTTCCCTTTTGATTTTTGGCTTTCTTTTGAATATTTCGTAAGTGTTTCTCCACATCTGGAAGCCAGAATGAGTAGTGGACTGGTTAGTGTTGAATATAATGTGAGGGTTACAGACTTCCTGTGGTTGATGGAAAGATTTTTATATGCTTTCATTTTTTAAATTTTATTTATTTGTTTATTTATTTATTTATTTTGAGATGGTCTCACTCTATGGCCCAGGCTGGAGGGCAGTGGTGTGATTGCAGCTTACCACAACCTCCACCTCCTGGGTTCAAGCGATTCTTCTGCCTCAGCCTCCCAAATAGCTGGGATTACAGTTGTGTGCCAGCACACCCGGCTGATTTTTGTATTTTTATTGGAGACAGGGTTTCACCATGTTGGCCAGGCTGGTCTCGAACTCCAGACCTCAGGTGATCCTGACCTGCCCCGGCCTCCCAAAGTGCTGGGATTACAGGCATGAGCCACCAGACCCAGCTTTTTATAGGCTTTTAGATCTGATACTCAGATATAGAAAGTTTGATTAATGCACAATTGTGTTCCAGAGACACACTGAACAGGACATTTTATTCCATTTTAAAAATCAATTTTGAAAACCTGTGTGTTATTATTTTTAACAAAATGTGAATGAAACCACAAATTATTGTAAAAGCCTTTCTAATTCCTCAACAATAGGTGTTATCAAGCTGATAAGGGCTTGGTTAAGAGAAAATTGCTTTCTCCTCAAAGATGCTGAGAAGTTCTTTATAATGAGGGGTGAGAGTCACGAAGCTTTGTGCCTTTTGTCATACTTTACCCAAAGAACGTGTGACATGATTGAGGTTTTTATGTTTTCTTAATGTTAAGTTTATCCTAAAACAAATACTGTTTTAGAACTTATCTCACTGGAATTTGGATTCAGAAGTGCCTGTTCCTGAAAACAAAATCCTCCCAGCTGGAAGGGATAGAGCAGCAGGTGGTAAGAAATCGTAGATGTGTATACTTATACTGAAAGAATCACTCATATTAAAAGGGGGTTTGTTTTGAATATAATCAGTTTTATGTAACTATTAATTGTCATTTTTTATACACATTTCAGGCAAAATTAACAAGGTAAGGATAAATGTTTGGTTTTAAAGTATTCATAAAACATACTATTTTAAAATTATAAGTATGTTCTTTAAAAAAAATTTCCTTCCTGAAAGTTAAACTTTAAATTTCATTTCTGTAGAGTTCTTCACACAAGTCAAAGTCAAATATTTTACAGAGTTTCACATTGGTTATTACATTAATATTTTGTCATATTAAGTATTTTTCAGTATAACAATACTATAAATGAAAATTGAGTATCGTCTTTTTTAGTTATTGTCAAAAAGGAAGTACTCCTGTCCTTTGAAATGTCTTGAAGCAGGCTGGGTGCAGTGGCTCACGTCTGTAATCCCAGCACTTTGGGAGGCTGAGGCAAGTGGATCATTTGAGGTCAGGAGTTTGAGACCAGCCTGGGCAATATGGTGAAACCCCATCTCTACCAAAAAAAAAAATTAGCCAGGCATGGTGGCACATGCGTGTAGTCCCAGCTACTCGAGAAGCTGAGCTCAGCAGGAGGATCGCTTGAGCCCAGGAAATGGAGGTTTCAGTGAGCCAAGATTGTGCCCCTGTACTCCAGCCTGGTGGCAGAAGGAGACCCTGTCTCAGCAACCAAAACAAAAAGTCTTGAAGTAGTTGAAATGACCAATATCTTGTTCTGAAGTAGTGGAAAATTAATCTTTTTGTTTATCCTTTTTGATCAGAACATAAAACATTTAACTGCAAAATAAAGACAATCTTAATGATATTCAAGTCTTATTAACAGTTTAGTTGGTATTTGTAATAAATAGGTTATACTCATTTTTGCTGAAATCAGTAAAAACAAAAGATTTCTTTATATATAAACAAAGTATCATTCAATTTTACCATGTATTCCTTGATTAGAACAAGAGCTGTACATTGTTAGAACAAGAATAGGGAACAGAGATATATTATGTTTAAAAGTCTTCTGCTGCCTTATAGAACTATTTGGAAATTCCAGTGGAGCAGCCGATGCCAGAACCTAATTTGTCGGCACATACTCAAAAAAGTACACAGGTGGGATTTGATTCATCATACCCTTAAAATATTACATTTTAAAAATATATGCACCTACTAAACGATTTCCCATTATTTTTCTGTCATCAGAATAGTAACCAAGGGATCTTTCAATTATGGAATTGTGCTCTTAATGAAGGAAGTACCATAGAGAAGAGGTAAGCGAATAGTTATTTTGTAACACCCTAAATTACTGAAATAAATTTAAAATACACATGAGATAACTACTTGGAATACAAGGACCATGAACCACCAGAAGAAAATAGTATTCTGTGGGAATAGTGGGCAATGATAGAAATCCACCCTAAAACAGGAAGTGGCTGCAAATACCACGAGACAATTAGAATAGGTGGGAATCAAGAGTTTTACTATGTTCTGACAGTGAAGATTTTAGATGGATAAAGTATGGGCTTCCCGTTGAAAGCAAAAGGAACTGTAATAGGAAAGTAGTATTGCATTCCAGGGACTATGTTAATTCCTTGTATGTAGTAGTTCATGTAACTCACAGCTGACCATGTAAGGAAGGCAGTTATCATCATCCCTGTTTTACAGTTGAGGATGCTTGAGGCATGGTGACAAGTAACTTGCTCAGAGTCGCACAATATTAATGAAAGGTGGAACCAGGATATGAAAGTAACCTGGCTCAGGCTCATAGACATTACAGTATATCACTTCTCAGACCTTACCTGAGGTTTTTTTTTTTTTTTTTTTGAGATGGAGTTTCACTCTTGTTGCCCAGGCTGGAATGCAAAGGCGCGATCTCGGCTCATTACAACCTCTGCCTCCTGGGTTCAAGCGATTCTCCTGCCTCAGCCTCCTGAGTAACTGGGATTTCAGGCATGGGCCACCATGCCCAGCTAATTTTGTATTTTTAGTAGAGACGGGGTTTCTCCATGTAGTCAGGCTGGTCTCAAACTCCCGACCTCAGGTGATCCACCCACCTTGGCCTCCCAAAGTTCTGGGATTACAGGTGTGAGCCACCACACCAGGCTGCTTTTTTATTTATTATTATTACACTTTTTAAAGTTCTGGGATACATGTGCAGAACTTGCAGGTTTGTTACATAGGTATGGTGGTTTGCTGCACCCAACCTTACCTGAGTTTTAATTTTTTTTCTTTTTTTTAAGACAAAGTTTCGCTCTTGTTGCCCAGGCTGGACACAATCTCAGCTCACTGCAACCTCCGCCTTCCAGGTTCAAGCAATTCTCTGCCTCAGCCTCCCTTGTAGCTAGGATTACAGGTGCCCACCACCACGCCTGGCTAATTTTTGTATTTTTAGTAGAGACGGTTTTACCACTTTGGCCAGGCTGGTCTTGAACTCCTGACCTCGTGATTCACCCACCTCGGCCTCCCAAAGTGCTGGGATTACAGGCATGAGCTACCGTGCCCGGCTCCTGACTTTTACTTCTTATTTTTTGATTCTTAAACTTTGCCTTGCATTAGGACTAGCTAGAAGGCTTCTTAGAAAGCCAGGTTACTGGTATTTGGAAACGAACGCTTACTGAGGACTGCTTTGTGGGACTTCACACAGTGTCTTCGCTCGTGGTCCGGAGTTTCAGGGCTCTTTTGTGTAGTTTAGCAGGAGAGTGGTTCACTTGATATCAGCCACGTCCTAGTCAGAGGATTTTACCTCTGTGAGGCCTGGGGTGAAGTTCACTTTATGTTAAAATTCAATGGGGAAATCAAGTTCTATGGCAGTTGTGGTGACTGATGACCTAAAGCAATGTTGGTGCTGATGGGGATAAAAAAGGCTATTTTTATGAGAAAAAACCTCAGCTGGGAAAAAGTATTTCAAGATAAGCGGTCAAACGAAGTGAATTGAATTTTGTCACAGTAGCAGAGGAGTGAACAAATGGAGGCAGTAGAATGCAGTGGTTAGGACCAGGGGCATGGGAGTCCACCACGTGGAGTCACTTCCAGCTCTCCCACTTCCTAGATGTGTGACCTTAGCCACTCTACACCCCCGCTTCCTTATCTGTTCAAGGTGGAAAATAAAAGTGCCTATCCCATGAGGTCGTGAGGACTGAACAGAACAATGTGTTTGACGGGCATTTGCTATTAATATTGGATAGGTTTAATAATGTTGCAGAAATGGAGGTTTGGTATCAATGAAAGATTTTTCTCCTCAATATACCATCAACAAGTAAAAAGAATAAAAGTAATATCTTAGTGTTTAACATTTTGCACAGCACATTCATATAAATTCTCTTGCTTCTCAGACTACCTCCAAGGTAGGTATTATTTCCATTTTGCTCACTCACTGGTAGCAAAGGGGTTCAAACCTAGGCCCTCCCCTTCCGGATTTCACACTCTTCATACTACATGTACGTGTCTGTTAACACTTGTATATTTAAAGTGATTTTCCTGTGGTTTTTCAAAGGCAAGGCAGTATACCTAGTATTTAGCTAAATGAGTATTTTTTCTTTTTCTTTTTCTTTTTTTTTGCAACAGGGCCTCATTCTGTCACCCAGGCTGGGGTGTAGTGGTGCAGTCGTGGTTTACTGCAGCCTCCACCTCTGAGGCTGAAGCGGTCTTCCCAGCTCAGCCTCTGGAGGAGCAGGGACTACAGGCGCATGCCTCCATGCCCAGCTCATTTTTTGTAGAGATGAATTTTGCCGTGTTGCTCAGGCTGGTCTCAGAATTCCAGGTGCAAGCAATCTGCCTGCCTTGGCCTCCCAAAGTGTTGGGATTACAGGTGTGAGCTACTGCGCCTGGCCTTGAAAGTATTTTTCAAAACTTTTCCAGATTATTTTGTTATCTTTAATGTCAACTGGCTTAAAAAGAAGCAAGAGGATATCAAGCCTATATGTCAACTAGTGCATCAAATCTTTCAATCTCAGTATTTCTAGTTATCTTTAAAAAATAAAAACTAACTAGAAACTCAGTATTCTATGGCTTTTTTGTAGTTTTCATTTTACCATAATACCTAGAATTACTCCTAAAATAGAAGAGCATCATTACATGAAAATTACTAGGGACTATATCTGGGATAATTTTTGATAGACATTGTTTGCTTCCTTTTTTGTTACAGTAATTTTTAAAAACCACAGTGGCTAACATAGAAGGCTTTTTAAAGTAACATAATTACATTCTTTGAGTTTCCTTTTATCTAATTCTGGATCAATAAACATTTCATTTTAATTTCAGTTTGAGTTAGATATCCTCATTTTCAAACCTAAGAATCGCATGTACACTATCGGCAAATATATAGTTATCCACCTTTAACCTATTGTCTATCCACAGCCACAGTTAGCCATTTTAGGTATCATAATCTAGTCACCTGTGCTTGCACAAAGGGAGGCCTAGTTAATATTTTAATCTATATTTTAAAAAATTTATGTAGTTGTATATTAGAGCATTTTTGGAAACTAACATATTTCTGTTACAGGTAGCTAGATCCACATATGCCATTGGGAGCTACACATTAACCAGCCTTTGATAAAGGGTACTTAACCTTATCATTTTCATAGCATTTTAATTCTAGTCAATAAACCATTCATTGAATTATTTTTTAAAGGGAATTCAAAAAATCTTCAGTGGAACCTGGCTTTAATGTAACCAGTAATCCTATCAGGGTCTTCACTCTGGGCCACCCATTCACAAGCACTTCAGCTGACGAGCAGGTTGGTCCTTACCCTGGACTGCCGCTGCCACTAGGTCTCTGCTGGCCCCAGGCTGATGGAGACTTTTTCAAGAACAGAAATGAGATTCAATTTAGTTCATGTTCAACTATAGAAAACAACGATGGTGAAACGTTACCTGCTCCAAATTGGAATTTGAAACACGGAAGCAGCAGTGTGGAAGAAAATCTAACAGATGAAAGTGACTTATCAGAAAATGAGAAAGCAAATGATACTTTACTTAGCTCTTTTAAAAAGGTGGACCTGAACTTGAAGCCAGAAACAATAACAAATGTTGAGGAACCTTTCACCGAGGAGCCAAATGAAGTATTTCCATATCCTGATTTTCTCCCTCCTGCTTTCAGTACTCTAGACTTGCACAATTTAGCCCTCTCCAAATCTGACAATTGGAAAGCGACAGTGGAACCTGCAGAAAGCTCTATTGAACACTTGATAACTCGTTTACTGGAACTAGAACGATTACAACATATGACTATTCAAAAAGAGAGGCCAAGACTACCAGCGACTTTCTGTACTCCGGCAGTTACTGAACGACCCTCTTCCTCCAAAGCTACACCAAAAGCGAGACAGCTAAAACTTTGTGACTCTTTGAGTCTTCAGATACCTTGTGTAGATAAAAGTCAAGAAAGAAGTAAAAACAACTCTGGTTCTTGCAAACTTGAGCAAAATGCTTTAAAATGGAATTGGAGCAATGCTGGCAAATATAAATGGAATACCAGACCACCGCCTCTAAAAAGTTCTTCCACCACAAAACAATTGACTGAAACTTATAAGAATCCCAAAAGTTATATTTTAAATCCATGCCCAGAACTTTCATCCAAGCCTACTACTGGCCAAACAACTCAATCACTGCTTAAAATGGTCTCCACAAGATGTCTGCCATCGAGGTCTCTAATGCCAGTTTCACCTATACCTCTGTCTTTTCCCGAAAATCAGAAGGAAGAAATTAAGGCACCGAAGAGAAACTTTGGGACCAAAAAGAAACTTTACCGACAAAACACAGTGTTGAATAGACCGTTCTCTATTCAGAAGCTAAACTGTTTGTCACCTTCCCTTATTGCTAAGGATAAGTGCTGCTCATCCATTGAACAAAAATAACTCTTTTCTTTCATACATCTCAGTGTGAACAGATCTATTCTAAGAAGCCCAACTAAGATATGGTTAATTATTCCAAGACACAGGTACTGTTAACAATCCCCCAAAATCACCAAACGGTTGCTTGATGTGATATGGAGTGGAACTTGTGAAAAGCACTGCTGAGATGTCTATATATAAACCCACAGGCTTCTATACTGACATATTTGACAATCTTTTGCATGTTGTGTTTCAAATAAATGGTTCACTTAGTAGACTATTCTATTCAAAAGGCTGTTGTTTTTTCAGTGATTGTTTTCCAGCATCATTCCATCAATAAATGGTATAATTGACTTATTGCAGCTGTAGTTCTTGTTATGTCATCATGAGTTGATTTTTTAAAAGGTCTTTCCCACTCTGGTATCATTTTTTTTCTTTCTTTCCTGTGCCCTCATCTCCACAGATCTATCATTTTGACCTATCCTTTGGGCATTTACTTAGCCCTGAAAAGCTAAAGAAGTTGTTGTTCTATTAATGTACAAGATCCTCTAGATCTCCCTAGCTCCTCCCAAATCCTTAGAAATTTTCTATGTCCCCGGCCTTTCTTTGTCATATACATGAAAGATTGTTCTCTTTGGGGCCCAACTACAGGTTTAGGCATGAAATAACCCTCTTCCACTCAGACCCAGTATTTTTTAAATGTTGAAGAAAAAAATGGGTAAGATCACTGTCCACAGAGCAGCCAAAATGTCATGTTACTAGAATTTTTTCCAGGCTCTGCACTGCTGGAAGTCTTAAGGTTAGTTGAAATTCATTCAGCCAACACATAACTCATTAACTAGTGAAAAAGGAAAACTACATGACTGACAAACTTACTGCCCCTAAGAATCAAGGAAACAAAATAGAGTCCTAGCTTCTATTGCAGGCCCTCTGAAACACAGTCTTTGGAAGTGGGACCCATGGACACACACTATAAACAAACATTCTAGGTGATTTTAATGCAGGTGGTTCTTGGATCATACTTTGAAAGATGTGATGAAAGGATTGATGTCACATACATAAATCAGGGGTTCAGATATTTGGGGATATACTGTGTTTGGGTTTTAAGTGGATGGTTGGTGAATTAAAATTAATTTTTCTAAAACTTTAAAAAATACACGATTAAAACTTCAACCATTACCCAAAGGTACCAAATGAAAAGTAAAAGGCAGCTGGGCACGGCGGCTCACACCTGTAATCCCAGCACTTTGGGAGGCTGAGGTGGGTGGATCATGAGGTCAGGAGTTCAAGACCAGCCTGGCCAAGATGGTGAAACCCTGTCTCTACTAAAAATACAAAAATTAGCCAGGCGTGGTGGCAGGTACCTGTAATCCCAGCTACTTGGGAGGCTGAGACAGAATTGCTTGAACCTGGGAGGTGGAGGTTGCAGTGAGCTGACATCGCCCACAGCCACTGCCTGGGTGACAAAACAAGACTTCGTCTAAGAAAAAAAAAAAAAGGCAAAAAAAAAAGGCCTCTCCCGCCATAACCCCACATACAAAGACAGCCACTAAATCTTTGGGTATCATCCCTCCAAATGAGATAGAATATTTGAGTTAGGGATGATTGAATTAATGGATAATTCAAATAAATGCTGAAGAGAACAACTGTAGCTTTTCCAGCTTTAGTAGCTTAAGGCTCAAAGTTTTCTTAGAGGCAGGGGTCACAGAGAGCATGCTTAGTTTTTAGTTTAATTTCAAAGAATTTTCTAGAATCAAATAGCACAGCAATAGAAAACAAACAATTGCATAATGAAATTTTACCTGTATGTATCCCAATCAGTCTCATTAATCCAAAGTGGTATAATATCCCTCTCATAAAAGTATATGCCAAAGTGGACTTACATTTTCACTAAATTCCAACTCTCAGTGACCCGTTTCCCACAAACCATCTTTAATTCTTACAATTCCTTCTAACTTGTGTACTGAACCTTTTCGACAAGCCCGCTGTTTCCATTCTCATTTCTACTTTCCTTAGCAACCTGGATTCTTCCCCTCACCCTGAGGGTCATGATGTAATTTGTATTTGTAAAACCTTCACAAAGGACATGCCTGTTTTGCTGGCTACTGTATCCTGGCAGGTAGTACTTGACTACCAATTGTCATGCATGACATAGTGGTTACAAGCACTAGCTCTGTCGCCAGGCTGTCTAAATTCAAACCGACTCTTGCCACTGAACACCTCTAACACCTTCAGCAGTTTCCTTAACCTCTCTTGCTTCATTTTTCTGATGTGTAAAGTGGGTAGACTGTCTTTATCTCATGTAATAATCATGTGAGGGTTAAATGACTAGCAGCGAAAGTGCCTGGCATATACAAGTATTCACAAAATAATTAGGGAAGTAAGAATGACACAGGAGGGCAGACCATCGTGAGAATGGACGTCCTTAGCATTAGTTAGGTGCAGGAACGATAATTCCTAACAAGGTCCTGTTTCTTGCAAGGCATGTGCCAAGGCACACGAAAATGGTATGGTGCAACAGATGCCCTTCCAGTGAGACTAGCAGTGGGAATGGGCATGGAGATGGGACTGGGACCAGAAGTGCAAGTTTTGTAGGGATTAGAGATGTATCATCTCCTTTATTCTGTAGACTGACGGGGGAAAAATACCTGGTTCCAACAGGTGAAGTTGGACCCACTTGTCCACGTATGTAGTGGACAAAACTGGAGACATGAATACAAAATATGTGGCCATTTTTCATACTTGGTGGAAGTCAACATCCACTATTATCTTTGAAGAAGAAAACATTTGGCAGTTTATAACACACGTGTAAATTCTGTTCAGGAAAACTTAGACTTGGTTTGCTCATAAATTCCCATGTTTAGCTCTCCAGTCATTGATGGTTCTCAGCTCACAGGATCTTCATGAAGTTGAATCTTTTTTTTTTGAGACGGAGTCTTGCTCTGTCACCCAGGCTGGAGTGCAGTGGCCGGATCTCAGCTCACTGCAAGCTCCTCCTCTCGGGTTCACGCCATTCTCCTGCCTCAGCCTCCCGAGTAGCTGGGACTACAGGCACCCGCCACTTCGCCCGGCTAGTTTTTTGTGTTTTTTAGTAGAGACGAGGTTTCACCGTGTTAGCCAGGATGGTCTCGATCTCCTGACCTCGTGATCCGCCCGTCTCGGCCTCCCAAAGTGCTGGGATTACAGGCTTGAGCCACCGCGCCCGGCCGAGGTTGAATCTTTCTAATTAAATTATGCGTGGCCGAGTGTGGTGGCTCACGCCTGTAATCCCAGCACTTTGGGAGGCTGAGGCAGGTGGATCACCTGAGGTCAGGAGTTCAAGACCAGCCTCGCCAACATGGTGAAACCCTGTCTCTACTAAAAATACAAAAATTAACGGGGCGTGGTGGCGGGTGCCTGTAATCCCAGCTGTTTGGGAGGCTGAGGCAGGAGAATCACTTGAAGCCAAGAGGCGGAGGTTGCAGTGAGCCGAAATCATGCCACTGCAGTCCAGCCTGGGCAACAGACTCCATCTCAAAAAAAAAGAAAAAAAGAAAAAAAGTATGTGTGAAAGGTCCTCAACCAATACATCCTGCACACTATTTTCCCTAAAATGTATCAGATATGATAACCTCATAGCCACTTTAGATGGTTATGCAGTCCAAGAAAATTATAACTGGGGCCTTTACATGAAGACCATCCAGAGCCAGTGCCATCTGACCATTTCTTAGCCCGGATTCAACCAGACTAGCTTCTACCTGCCACTCGGTGATGGTTAGCTCCGACAGGGTGGGTGGGTGAGTGCATTCTACAAGGTCATTCTGACTGCCTTTCTCCAATCCTGCTTTGCATGCACTAAGATTCACAAACTACACTGTCTTATTTTACTTACTATTTTGAAAAGCCAAAAACAGTTCCTTCAAAGAAGAAAATAAAGGGTAGGTAGACGGAGGATAAGAGCCCAAGATTTGTCAAGCTATCATATGGGCAATGAACCAATTTGTTTATCGTTATAAAAAAGGGAGTTGGCTCATTACTTATCTATGTTTCCATTACTAGGAAAACCAAAGCAGAAATGTATGTAACAGGAACATGAATATAATACACCCTTTGGTGTACACTGCACCTAATGCTCTGAAAATGTTTTGATGTTTGTGAGGAAAATCTGAACTCAAGCAAAGAAAAAAACCAGGAGACAATATGATAATAAGGGGCATATTTTATTCAGTTTCCCAGTAAGTCAATTAGAAACATGCGCTGCTAAAATGCAAGTTACAGTTCAAATGGTACCACAAATAATTAGAATATACACTGAGCATTTTCAGAAATCAGCTTCCATATCTTGATCACTAAATGGAAAGGTTCTTCAGAACAGTCCCTTCCCCTATATACAGAAGGAGAAGAAAAATTAAGGATGCCATAATGACATCTATCAGAATAACTGGAAAACATTTTAATTTAGCATACATTATTGACATGTAAAAAACAAATGAATTTGTCATGAACATTTCTATAAGGAAGACATTCCATTAGGAGGAAAATGATAAAATTCATGTTGAATATATGCTGGAAATAGGATACTATTAAGAAAGAAACACATTTATGAAGCCCAATTGGAAAAGATGTCATTATAACTAAAGGAGGAAAATTACATTTGAATATATGGCTGCTTTCCTATCTTCAACATTCAAAAGGGCCATTTCTTAACTAATTTGCCTAAATTTTATCATGTGTGATTCCTTTGTTTCATCTCAGAGATTTCATTTCTATCCATATAGCTAGAGTTCTGCTTACAAATGATAAAATACAGGTAAAGCATAAAAGGAATGAAAATATGGAACAAAACTGAGAACATTACATTTCACTTCCTCTACCACATACCATAAAACATTACATAAATATTTCATATTGAAAAAAAGTCCTGAGTACTTATTTTTGTTAGGAATAAAGTGGTACTTAATAATGGCAAAACATTTCTATTATTTTAAAACAAAATTTTGAGACAGTGAAATGAGATAGCTATTGGGGAATGAAGAAAACGGGATGCATTAATAACAATTTAAGGGTGAATATAAGATGCTCCCCCTGCTCAAAACCTCGAAATTCCAACCTCATTTCCGATGACCTTCAAGAATAAAGTCTATCCAGAGTGTAAAAAATGTCTATGCTTTCTAGATCTCAACTATTCTCCCAACCCTAGAAAAAACTGTAACATCTTTGAATAGTAGTCCATACCTAAGACTTTTATGAGTCCTCAAATCTGACAATCACTTGATACCATGTTTGCCATAAAGTATAATATGGCAAAAACTTTATGGCAGATAGCATTTGAAAACTATGCCATAAAGTATAATAAAAGCAAAAACTTCATGGCAGATAGCATTTGAAAACTATACAGCTACTCTAAAAGATGAATGCAAATTTATTAAGGAGCATTCACTAAAGAAATTCAATCTAGTAGGTCTTGCAAAGTTCCAAATTGCACCTCAGCCAAATTACAGAGTGTAAGAAAATCATGTATACGAACATAAGACAGTTTATAGGGTTCCTTTCAAATAGGTAGTCTAGATATGCTACATTGGGGCATAAAAAACCCACAGTATCATCTTCATTTCCCTTAAAAAAAAAAAATAAATAAAACCAATGGCTCTGAGTATTTTGTCTACTTTAAGACTGGAACACTGGTTAATAATGAGGTTCCTAAAGGGTAAGTTGGGGAATAGATACTAAAGGAGTTGAACAGTATTCTTAATATTCCAGTTTCTATTCTTTTGCATCTGCCTAAAGCTGAAGACTACTTTTAGATATATGCTATTCTGGTGGTTGCTGTTTTTCTAAGATCCTTAAGATCCAATTTTGACAACCATGTGTTAATGTGGAATCTCAGCATCCAAGAGCCTTTTACATTACTAAAATTGACCACTATTTTTATTTTAGGGAAGAAGAAACTGGGGGAGGGGGAGAGGCAGGAAGTATGATAAAACAAGCACTTTACAGATGAACACCACAATAGCACTACTATTCTAAATACCAAACACCAATAAAACCCAAATCATAATGCTGAAAACTAAAAAATTAGACAAAAACTAAATGAAGGATTGTTTTTTAATAAATCTTTTATAGGACAGAAACCTTAGCTCATGTCTTCTGGTTGTCATCATCTTCCACTGAGCTGCACCTAAAACACAAAGAACAAGTAACAAGCAACTTCGTTTTTAAAGAACAGGTAATAGTTTTGAAGGTATAAGATGAACTGTTTCTAGTGGAACTTACTTAAAAAATTATATAAAATGAAGCCATAAACATCACCAGAAGCATCAAATTGTCAACTACTTTGGGTGAAAATAACTACAAAAGACTTGAATATGCAGCATATTATCACCAAAATAAATAATGGTGGGAAAATCACTACCCGTTTCATTAAGGTAGAATAGCTGCACCTGTGACGCCTTATTTAAAAGGCTTCACTCTACCTGAAGATGAAAATCACCTTGCATTTATTTTAGTAAGTCTAAACCGTGAAGAGACGGGGTGTAGGTTCAGAGGTGGCTTATTATATCATCTATCACCTTCCTGGCTGTAGTTCATTTCATGTCTTTAAATGGAGCAAAACCCACCAGAAGAATGCTGCTATTCTGATTTTCCATTCTTGAATGCACCAAAATGTGCATGCTTGTTGTAATTAGGTGCCTGGGTGAATAAAAAAATCCCATTTACAATTTAAAAATATTATTTATACCCCTAAAATCTGATTATTTTCCATATTCCTCAGGGAGACAAGCAATAATTTTACCCCCCAAACAGAAAAGATTACATATATTTCTGAAAAATTCTCTTCTACCATGTTAATAATACAAATTCCTTTGTGTTGCAAAACCAAGTTGATTTACACGATTTTGTCTTAAATTGTTGCTAAATGTTTATCTACACATGCTGTCAGAAATAACCTTGTTAAGAAGGTGAAGCTGGTGTCTCAGCAAATCAGACCCCTTGGAGAAGGCGTTGAATGGCCTGTGCCCCGTTTTCCTTTTTCTCTTTCCGCACCATCAAAAGGAAAAGTGAGAAAATAGCAGAAACATTAGTTAAATCCTGAATTATACCCCATAACCTACAGGAATAATCTCACTACACTGAAAGCTGACAATATTTGTAGGATTTTTTGAAATAATTAGGATCCTAATTATTAATAAACTGATAATTTTGGCTAGGTTTACATCTTTAACTAATAATACTTTCAATTAAAAACTTTCAGGAAAAAAACAAAAGGTTGCTTTTAATAACTATTTATGGTTTACCTGACTTACCAGCACTGAAGACAAAAACTTTTAAAAATGGCTACAAATGCCTTGTTCACAAAAGACTTTATTATCTAGTGATGCATACTGAGAACATACAGAAATCTGCATGGCCCACTTCACATGCAGTAGAACAATCTTCACTTTACAATAAGTGAGTGTCAACTGTTTTATGCAATAGACAACACTTTAAAGTCACATTCTTAAAGAAAAGCTTCATTTACAAAAGAAATAAAAGGTAAAGAAGCAATTACCGCTTTTAAAAAGCAGCTGCTTTGTTCAAGAGTGGAAGGTTTATGCCTGTATTGAAAGACAACATGATCACAAATAATGAAAACAATGAACACATGAAAAACACTTTTACCGTAAAGCAGTACACTTTCAAAATGACATACAAATAGTTAAAAATTTCATTACGTTGTCTATCTAGCCTTTAAATATGAGGACTTTCAGAATTAGGCCTCAACATCTGTAATTAGTAAATGAGAACTACGCATTGTTTCTATGTCACTAGGAACTATATTTAACAAAATGTATATAAAGTCTATAGCAAGTTGATTTTAAAAAAGTAAAGTTAATAAGAAACAGTACACTGAAGGCGCTCTATCCATCAAGCGCGTTCTCTTCCAATTTTAAATGTGATGAACAAACAGAAATTGTAACTATGCCACAGTTGCAATGCCAAAAAATAAAACAAGATCAGTTATCACACATGCAGGGAATTCTGCCACAAAGCTAACATCCCTCATTTGTCAGTTGTTCCAATAAAATAACATCTTAAAACACCAGAGATGTTGATGGTTTAGCTTACCTTCAGTGTACTGAATGCTGCACACAACCTGCTTTAAAAGGAGACCATCCCTGCAGGCAGGCTCAAGAAGGAACAGACCCCTTTCGGCACTGACTACACCAAGGGCATGCTGCTGTGGCCTGCACACACATACCTAGGAAAACGTGAATATAAACAGCATTTATGCTGGCCATTTTATCTCAAGACCAATATGAAGCCAAGTCTGCTAAAAACAAATCAACCACCCAATATTACTACTCATTTTATAACAGATGCTTTTGTCTTTATGTGAACTGCAACCATATACATTAGCACTGTAATTTTGTGCAGTCTTGGCAATTTAAAACAGTTCTACAGTGAAATTTCACGTAAGACACAAAACAGATTAACTAACATTTCTAAAAGAAATATCACCCTTGGTGTTAATTCAAATATATCATGCTTCCTCAAATTTGCTGGAGAAATATTTATAAGTTTATATACATTAATAAACTGCTGTGAAATTTCTTCAGTCTTTGTATTTACTCAAACCCTTGGAGTTTCTTCATCTTGTTTAAATTTTTTCCTGGATGAAGGCATGCTGTAGGGCCTGGTTGATGCTAATTCGTTTAGCTGGGTCCAACATCAGAATCTGGTCCAACAAGTCCTTTAGCTGGTGTACTTTCTTACGTTGGTCTTCAGGAAGTCTCTGGCACCCAATCAAGTCAGCCAACAGGTCCTTAGTTGGATTAATGGTGCTCATAACAGTAACTTTCTCCTAAAAATAATTTTTAAAATGCGTATCTCTAAATAAGTTACTAAGCATATATAACTTAAATCAGATTGTTTTGGGGTCAGTCTATAAAAAATATTAAAAATATACATATATTAAAAAAATATATACATAGTGCATAACAACATTTTGGACAATGACAGATTGCATATGTGACAGTGGTCCCTTAGATTGGAATACCGTATTTTTGCTCTCCTTTTTCTATGTTTAGATACACACATACACTTACCACTTATGAAAGTGCCTATAGTATTCAGTCCACCAACTTACGGTTCAGGTCTAGAAGCAAAAGGCCATACTACGTACCTAGGTGTGTGTGAGTGTATGCTGTGGTTATGCGATGCATGACTGTGTATCATCATCATCTATTCATTTAAAACTTTGCTGTGGTTTCCTCTATGCTCTACATCTTTTTAAAAGGTAACCAAAAAAATTAAATGAAAAAGTTGACGTCAACTCTGGGCTGGGTGTGGTGGTTCACGCAATCCCAGCACTTTGGAAGCCCAAGGTAGGTGGATCGCTTGAATCCAGGAATTCGAGACCGCCTGGGCAACATGGCAAAACCTGTCTCTACTAAAAATACAAAAATTAGCCAGGCATAGTGGCACACAACTGTAATCCCAGCTACTCAGGAGGCTGAGGCATGAGAATTGCTTGAACCCGGGAGGCAGAGGTTGCAGTGAGCCAAGATCGTGCCACTGCACTCCAGCCTGGATGACAGAGAGCGAGACTCAGTCTCAAAAAAAAAAAAAAAAAAGTCAACTCCAAGTTAGCAATGAAAATTAACAATAAGCATTTGCTGTTTGCATTGTACTTTCTCTACCCTGAAGTGGTAAGTGACAGACATGCGAATAAGTTGATACCATGAAGTGTTATTAAGTGCTCCAGCAAAGACAGGGACATACGACATAATAATGGGACCAAAAAAAGGAAATCATTACTTCAATCTGGGAGTTTTCGAAAGGCTCATACAGAATGTGTATTTCAGCTGAGGCTTGAAGATAAATTTTTTAGGGGGTTGGGGGTGAGGCAGCACAGGAAATGACTAAGCTCAGGGAGGTCTGTTAGCAAAGGCAGGAAGGTCTGAACCAGCATGCCTTCTGGCCAAATGTGGAAGGGTGGGGGTTCTGAGTGTACCAAAGAGAGGTTTGAAAATCGAAGAAGGAAGTTGGATTTGTCATTCTGAGGAACTTAAATTTTATTATTTCAAAGGTAACAGGGAGCCAACAAAGGTTTTTAGGCAGGGACAGGAACACGATCAGATTTGTTTTCAGAAACATCACTCCAGCAGCAGTAAGAAAGCTGGATGGGAAGCCAGACCAAGAAAGTAATCCAAAGAAGATGTGACGAGGGCCTAAATATGACCTAAAATAAAAACAAATTCATTATGCTAGAAAAACATTTTAAAATCCCTTCATCTTTTCCATGGCCTAATGTGTTTTATTTAGGAATTGGTCAACAGCAAAAAGGAAATATTTACTTTTGTGTGTATGTTTTTTTTTTTTTTTAAATTCACCAGCTCCTAGTATGACTTAGTACTCAATTAACTAACAATAAAATAACTACTGAATGCTGCATTTAAAACACTTACCCTCTCTGTTACTTTGTCAACTTCTATGTACATGAAGTTGAGATTTTGATCAAAATGCTGATCTTTGAACACACCTTTTCGAATCATCTACAAAACAAAACAAAAACTTGGGTTTTGAACTATTATGAAACAGTCTGGCCTACTAACAATTTAAAATACAATAAGTCAAGTAAGTATTTAGTCTCTGTAGGTTTGTTTGATCTCAGATTCCCTTGATCCCAGGAATTCATTAAAATCTTTGGAAAAGCAAATACAAATGGTCTACCTAAAACTACTTAATAACATGAAATTATATTTGTCCAGGCAGCGACTTAAAACAATTATAACATCAAATTGTGCTTTCACTATTTAAAATTAGAGAGTCAACAAAGACTTTAAATTATTTGTTCCTAAAAATATTACAGAACTAAGGTTTTTTTTCTCCTTGGCAGTTAGGTAACCTAATGCCACTTTACAAATTACGTTCCAACAGCCCTAATATGATACAGGTCAGACTGCATTACAATTAATACCAACATAGCTCATTTTTATGTAACTTATTCTAAAAAAAGTCCAACATAATAGAATTTGGACAATATGTAAAAATCAGCCTGGTCAACGTAGCAGAACTCCACCTCCACAAAAAAATTATTAAATAAATTAGCTGGGTGTGGTGGCACATGCCTGTAGTCCCCGCTACACTGGAGACTGAGGCAGGAGAATTGCTTGAGCCCAGGGGTTTGGTTCGAGGCTGCAGTGAGCTATAACTGTACTCCAGTCTGGGACACAGAGCAAGATCCAGTCTCAAAAAAAAAAAAAAAAATTAAAAGCCATACAGGCTTCTGACCTTTACGAAAAACGTGTAAATCTTTTAGAAATTCAGCAAATAGGCTGAAATCTTAAAAAGCTAAGTTATGGCAGGGTGCGGTGGCCTATATACACTTTGGGAGGCTGAGGCAGACGGATCACAAGGTCAGGAGATCGAGGCCATCCTGGCTAACACTGTGAAACCCCATCTCTACCAAAAATACAAAAAATTAGCCGGGTGTAGTGGTGGGCACCTGTAGTCCCAGCTACTCGGGAGGCTGAGGCAGGAGAATAGTGTGAACCCAGGAGACAGAGCCTGCAGTGAGCCAAGATTGCCCCACTGCACTCCAGCCTGAGTAACAGAGCAAGACTCCTTCTCCAAAAAAACCAAAAATAATAATAAAATAAAAAGCTAAGTTATGGCCCTCAGACACTTTAATAAATGCTTAAATTCTTGCTTCATGTTAAACAGAAACTAGTATTATAGCTGAAGTATCAAGGGTGAGTTAGAAAGATATTAAATAAATTTTCTTGGTACCTTTCTCAAATAACCTCCAATCTTTAATTAATTAATTAACATCAAGTTCCTCTTACAATATCTAATATTCACCTATTCATTCTCTGACCACTAAGCACTTTCTTATATTTAACCTAACTCGATCTACATCTTTTTCCATTCTATCTTCCAAACATTTTGAAACTTTTACCAATAAAGGTGCATTCCCAAAATATTGCTGCTCTCTGTCCATCATTGAAAAAGTTCTCTTATCCTTAGCTCTCAGCTGATTAGAACCACTAATTCAAACACCAGAAAAGGGAAAGACCCTAAGAAATCATGATAGCCATCTACCCACCTTTCTGAAATTGTTGTTTTATAGTTCACCAGTGGTGAGCAAGTGTCAGCAGTCTGTCAGTTTATAAGAAACTAAGACCTTAAAGAAGCTCATGCTAATGTCTTACCTTATTTGGCATCTTTCCTTTGAGATCCATCGCAAGCTTCAGCATATGGTTATTGGTTTTGCCAGGAAATAAAATTTTTCCAGTATAGAGTTCGTATAAGGTGCAACCTACAGACCACATATCTATGCCATAGTCATAGCTTTTACCTATAACTGAAAACAAAATCAAAGTTTTAATATATGAGGACCAGGAAAACTGACTACTATTAATTTTATTTCCACTAATGAGGGCCTACCTTAGCTTGGACTATAATCACAATCTTAATGCCTTAGTTTGACAATTAGTTTTGTGTTCTTTCCCACTAATTCTTAATAGAGACTCAAACTTAAAAACCTTAAAAAATGGAGGTGTGGGGGAGGAACTTAAAGGGCAAAAGAAAATATGTATTTCTTCTCTTTTCTCATTTCACCTTTGGTGGAGGTGCTAATCAGCCTCAACCAAGGCAACAGGAAAAAACAAAGGTCCCATACAATCCATAAATGTGATAATCAGACCTTGAATAATCAAGAGCAGTCTTCTAAAGTCGAGGATTTTCCACAACTGTTTTGCTACTCTTGCCCGACATGATCAAGACTCCTGTCACAACTACCTTCATTCCACCTGAGGAGGATGAACTTGCTACGGTTCCCTTCCTCAGGAATGAACTCGTGCAGCTGCTGAAGTGTGATGGAAAACAGTGCTTAGACATTAAGTATGCGGTTTCCACCACATATGATGGCCCAGGTCAAAGAACATTAAGAAACTTACTGATTTCAGGAGCACGATAAAATCTACTGACAAGATAAGGTGTTATGTCATTATCCGCAACATGTGAAGCCGACCCAAAATCGCAAAGCTTTAAAATAGTTTTTGATTCATTAACCTGCAAAACATTTTTTCAACGGAATTTAATTCAAGCCAGGAATAATACAAATAAATAAAAATTATTGGCTTTGAAAAGTTATATTAATTCCAATACTGACAACAAAGACACTCATTTAAAAGTTCCTTTTCTATTTATTTTTAATTCAATTTCCTATGAAAAGTTAATATGTATCAAATATTCATTACAATGAGTAGAAACTGTTTTCAGTGAGGACATGGATACCACAAAGTACATTAATTTTAACAACTGCATTTTTAAAAGGGTAGGGTAATTTTATGAAGCAAAGCATCTTCTAAAAAGACCCTGAATACCTGAATAAAGTTTTATTACTAAGGACTCATATTTAAGTTAACTTTCAGTTGCCAGAGAATTACGATGGCAATGAAAGCAGAAGGGTGATTCAGATTAAACTTGGACAAAAACAAAACATTCTTCATCCGAAGCTGCTATATCATCCCAAATTTAGCAATCACTTCAAGTCTAAAAAATATTAGCCCTTAAATATAAAGAAGGTATTAGTCAAGAAAATGTTAAATATATCTGGCAAAACTGATAAACACGAACTCTATATTAGTCATTTGTTTCTTTTTTCCTTTGTAAATACTTCAACATACACAGTAATAGTGACATCTGCTGAGAAAGGCTGGAGTTGCTCCCATGACTGCTGCCACTCATGAGTCAGAAGCATGTTCAGGATTAACAAGTGAAGATAATTCATATTCCAGAGTCCCTTCCCCCCTTCAAAAGAGACACATACAAATTCCGAGTTGGGACTTGAACTTGGTCTACTGCTCCCACCCCAAAGCAGCATAACACTTTAGCCTTAGGCAGTCTCTGTGGGGAGATTGGACTATTATAAATGATACCCAGAGTTAAACTATTAATAGGAACAGAAATGATTATTTTTAACTCCCACATTGATTACCATTCTTTTCGTCTTGGGAATCAGAAAAGCAACTTAAAATAGAAAAGTTCTTTTAAAACTTTTTAAAGTATAAGCTGAATTCAGCTACTTAAGCAGTTTCAATACCCACAGAAAACTTAAGAAACATTTTAAAATTAGAATCTTATCAGTGGAACTCTTGGGCTGGCTAAAATGCCTTAAATAACAGCAGGGTATCCATACTCATACGCACTTCAGTTTGCTACACAACTTCTACTCCTGCCATGAGGAATGTGGTATTTAAAAACCACACTGAAGCCTGAAATCACGAGCCAAAGGCTTTGGACTTCCATTAACAAAAATCAGCTCTGTCACTGAGGTCTATTTTTCCCTTCCCCAGGAAGAAGGGAAAAGATTTCTTAAATGTATGTGAAAACCTATACTAGTTTAGCATTAGCTTTTAAAAACAAGAGCTTCTTCTATGACACTGGCAAATGTGTTATTCTTTAACTTCCACAATGGTTACAAAGATGCTCACTGTAAATGACCTTTTAAATTGTACATGTTTTGTATATTCTTTGACATGAACCATGTATTTCACAATTAAAAAACGAAAAATCGGCCAGGCATGGTGGCTCACGCTTTTAATCCCGGCACTTTGGGAGGCCAAGGCAGGCGGATCACGAGGTTAAGGAAATCAAGACCATCCTGGCCAACATGGTGAAACTCTGTCTCTACTAAAATACAAAAATTAGCCGGGCGTGGTGGCATCTGCCTATAATCCCAGCTACTTGGGAGGCTGAGGCATGAGAATCGCTTGAACCAGGGAGTTGGAGGTTGCAGTGAGCCAAGATCGCGCCACTGCACTCCAGCCTGGTGACAGAGTGAGACTCCGTCTCATAAAAAAAGAAAAAAAAAAATTGAGGTAAAAATCAACTATGAAATTGGCCACAGAAATTTACAATTCATTTTTAATGCACTTACCATTTCAATGCAATTACTCAGCTCCCTTAACTCCAAGTTACATTAGATATACAATACAATAATAATTCAGACCAAATATAAAAATGGAATGCACCTCACTACTAATGTGGCTGTCTGGAAGGAAATATTTTAAGATATTAAGAAAAAAGAAAAAGAGAAATATGAATTAAAGAGCTTAGTTATTGATAAAAAGTCCTTAAACTTCAATGAGATCACCATTTTTTAAAGAATTTATTTTGGCCAAGTATGGTAGCTCACACCTATAATCCCAGCACTTTGGGAGGCTGCAGCAGGAGGACTGCTTGAGCCCAGGGGTTTGAGACCAGCCAGGACAATATAGCAAGAACTCATCTCTAAAAAAATTGTTTTAAATTAGGCAGTCGTAGTAGCATAGGCCTGTGGGTAGTCCCAGCTACTGGGGAGGCTGAGGCAGGAGAACTGCTTGGGCCTAGGAGTTTGAGGTTACAGTGAGCCACTATGGCATCACTGCACTCTAGCCTGGGTGTCAGAACAAGACCTTGCCTCAAAACAAAACAAAAGAAAAAATAAAAAGTATTTAATTTGTTATAGCTTCAACAGTTCCCAATAAAGAACACCCTATTAGTCTTCAGGATCTCTCCTAGGCATCAACTGTAGGAGAGCTGATAAAAAGAACCCGTTTTTAAAAAATGAAATGCAGAATGTTACCAGAAGATAAGCTGGAATTCTCCAATTTGTGAACACGACCCAAACTGAAGGCCACAAAAGAGGGTGAAGTAATGGGGCCAGGGAGGGGAGGAGTGTGTGTGTACATTAATCCCATCACTATGATAATATGTATGTATTTCAAAATTTCAAAAACATATACGGCCGGGCGCGGTGGCTCAAGCCTGTAATCCCAGCACTTTGGGAGGCCGAGATGGGCGGATCACAAGGTCAGGAGATAGAGACCATCCTGGCTAACACGGTGAAACCCTGTCTCTACTAAAAAATACAAAAAAATAGGCCGGCGCGAGGTGGCGGCGCCTGTAGTCCCAGCTACTCGGGAGGCTGAGGCAGGAGAATGGTGTAAACCGGAAGGCGGAGCTTGCAGTGAGCTGAGATCCGGCCACTGCACTCCAGGCTGGGCGACAGAGCGAGACTCCGTCTCAAAAAAAAAAAAAAAAAAAAAAAAAAAAACATGTGTGAAATCTGCACATTACCACCAGAGGTCATTAGTGGAAGAGGATGAAGATTGCAAAAGGTGAGAACACACGGACACACAGGGGAACGATACACACTGGCGTCCGTCAGAGGCTGGAGGGTGAGAGGTGGGAGAATCAGGAAAAATGGCTACAAACCCTCCATGACACAAGTTTACCTGTGTAACAAGCCTGCACATGTACCCCTGAACTTAAAAGTTTAAAAATAAAATAAAAAAAACTTCAAAAGCGATGTCTTTAAATAGAATACCTAACCACAACTGAGCTTTATTGTGTTTGGGCCCCCAGGAGCCACAGCTTAGGGAACTATAAAATTAGCAAACAGAAGAGTAGGAACACTCTTTATTTCAAAACAGCAACATGTGCAGCATTTTTTTAAGATAACAGAAGAAACTCATTATTACTACATTAAAGAATTCCAGGATTGGTACATCCTTTAAATCCATCAATCAAAAGAGAAAAAAAGGGACGACTGCACATTTCCTTTTTCTTCATACTTGTCAATAAAATTTCACTGTCCGATTTCCAAGAAAGATAAAAATTATTAGTCACTTGAAATAGGTTATTAATATACTGAACTATGCTTCTGTCATTTCTCATAATAATCATATTGCTAGTAAGAAGTGATATGGATGTATAAGATGTACAGGACAGCTTGACTGTTTGACTTACCAGGATATTGTCTGGCTTGATATCTGCATGTAGGATATTGCATCTTTTAAGGAGTTTCAATGCCAGGAACAACTGCTGACTATAGGATCTTACAGCTTTAATATGAAGACCAACATCTTTACCATATTTTTTTAACACCTCTCGTAAGTTCATACTTTTAGGAGAAAATAAAACACAAAAAACAAAATAGGAGTTAAAATGCAAAATGGAAATATAAAAAGGCAAAAACATTTGCAAGCGTAAAGTACAATCAAGTGCAGAATACAAACAATAAAAATACCTAAGAGCCGTCCCCACATTTGATAAATTATTTTATACTGAAAGGAGAGCGTATCAAATTGTATGTATATAACACAGTTTCCCAATAAATTCAATTTTCTAAATAAGTAGGAAGAAAGATAGGCAAGGTAAAACTCCCATTTAGATTTCAGAATAGATTCACATTTGAAAACACAACAAAGCCATACTGTTGAAGATAAAAATTCCTTGAAATATTTCATTTTAAGAGACTCTCTCTGTTGACCTATGGGCTCCATGAGAGTAGTGCCTGGTGTACAGCATAGTCAACTAATGTTTGTAGATTCATGATTCAAAAGACTAGCTGGGATTACGATGGCTCACACCTGTAACACCAACACTCTGGGAGGCCAAGGTGGGCAGATCAATTGAGGTCAGGAGTTCAAGACCAGCCGGGCCAAGATGGTGAAACCCTGTCTGTACTAAAAATACAAAAATTAGCCGGGTGTAGCGGTGTGCACCTGTAATCCCAGCTATTTGGGTGGCTGAGGCACGAGAATCACTTGAACTCAGGAGGAGGAGGCTGCAGTGAGCCAAGACTGCACCACTGTACTCCAGGCTGAGCAACAGAGTGAGACTGTCTCAACAACAACAACAACAAAGACCAGCTGTTAACCAAAAATTAAACAACAAAACCAGAGCTTTGTGGATAAAATAAATCAAAAACCCAGAAAATCTGTCACAGCATTTATCCAAAATGAGATGGTAAAGATGAAAAAGTTAAATTTTCAATGTAATGCATAGGTTTTGACATTGTACCTTAGAGGCTCGAATACGAGACAAAGATGCTGTTTGTGATAGAAGTGCCTGAAGAGTCGCAGACAATGAAATTTGTCATCAGGATCAGCATCATTAAGTTTTTTCAAGAACTCTAGTTCTTTTAAACCAGTCTTTTGCCTAAAAAAAAAAAAAAAAAAATTGGGTTAAAATTGAATATATATAGAATTTAGGAGCACTACATAATATATTTGCTAGTCCCAGTCTGATGATCAGGTGATGTGTGGGAGGAGTCTGCTTATTTTTAAGTACTAATAAATCTACTGAGAAATGATGTCTCTATATATCATTCACATAATACTTTGTATTTAGTCAACTATCATTATCATAGTTAATTTCCAAAATAATCAATGCACAAAACAGAAACACTGAGGAACAAACCCATCTTTATTTTGATTTTTTAAAAATTTTGATTTTGCCTGAAGGAATATCAATATTGTATATTTTATCTCAAAACAGGCCAGGCGCAGTGGCTCATGCCTGTAATCCCAGCACTTTGGGAGGCGGAGGCGGATGGATCACTTGAGGTCAGGAGTTCAAGATCAGCCTGGTCAACATGGCGAAACCCTGTCTCTACTAAAAATACAAAAATTAGCCAAGGGTGGTGGCAGGCGCCTATAATCCCAGCTACTTGGGAGGCTGAGGCAGAAGTGCTTGAATCTGGGAGATGGAGGGTTTGCAGTTGAGATGAGATCACACCATTGCACGCCAGCCTGTGCAATAAGAGCAAAACTCTATCACCAAAAAAAAAAAAAAAAAAAAAAAAAATCAATAAAAAAATAACCCACATCTTGACATTATTTTTAACAAAAATGAAACCACACTGCACACTAGTCTTGGTTCCTTTAAGAATGCAGTAATCGGCTGGGTGCAGAGGCTCATGCCTGTGATCTCAGCACTTTGGGAGGCCGAGGCAGGTGGATCACTTGAGGTCAGGAATTCAAGACCAGCCTCCTGGCCAATGTGGCAAAACCCTGTCTTTACTGAAAATATAAAAATTAGTTGGGCATGGTGGCAGGTACCTGTAATCCCAGCTACTCGGGAGGCTGAGGAAAGAAAATCCCTTGAACCCAGGAGGCAGAGGTTGCAGTGAGCCGAGATCATGGCACTGCACTTCAGCCTGGGTGACAGAGCAAAACCCCCGTCTCAAAAAAAAAAATAAAAGCAAAAAACCAACCAAAACAGAATGTAGTAATGGACGCCTTATCAAATTTTAACACTTGGTTATCTGAGGAAATTCTTGTTACAATTTGTCAACAAGCTACATTTTATGGTGAGCGGCTAAATACAGAAGTTGGGGCTTCCCATCAAAACAAGGCCCTTTCTAAGCCTAGGGCAACCTAAACTTAACACTTATTTCTAACATTTCAAAAACATTAAGTTCATTTTAATACCAGCTCAGTGTGTGGAATTAAAACATACAGGTATGGCAATTAACTATTCTACTGGAGGAAAACAGGAACAAATTAAAAAAAGACAGATTCTCATCACTTGGATAAATTTTTACTTTTTTGCAAGTCACCTTAGTGACAGCTAATCAGTATGATCTTTTCATTTCTCTACTCGTCTTCAAATAAAGCAAAGGATGGCATAAGACAGGCAATAGAGAGGAGTTTAAGTTGTTATCAGTGCATATAGTAGGTACTACAATGCACTGAAATGAATTAAAAATAATCAGTCTATTGTTCTAGTACATATAACATATGGCTATAATTTTAAAATCCAGTCAAAAACAACTGTTTCCATTACTTTATAATTGCAATACTTGTTTTACACATTGTATCATGTATCACTTTAAAAAAATAGTTTGAAAACATGTTCATCTGTAATATCTGTACTGTTACAGGTTTCCTCCCACGTCTTCTGAACTTACATGAGCTCATTGTTTCTGATGATCTTTACAGCCACTTCTTGGTTGGCTCTTGCATTATCTCTGGCTCGTACAACATTACTGAATACACCTTGCCCAGTGTAGCCATACACATTGTAACGTTTATCTAGGACTTCACCTATGTTCACACCTAAAAAAGCAAATTAAAAAATTAGAATTCTGACTATAATAAATAGAATCAGAAAGGAGGAAACACAGTGCAGTCACTTTAAAATTGTGTTAAATCTCTACTAGTTGGTTTCCTAGACACAATGAAGAATCAAAGCCATGCCTCCACTGATCACTCTATCAGAGTGTGGTTAGAAGCTGCATGCCCACTTCAGATCACTAGAAGAGTTTCTGTTGTCCTATCAACTGCTGACAATTTTAACACTGAGTAAGTTTTTCTAATTGTAGTCCTGCATGACAAATACTGCAAGACTGGCATCCAAAGTTTTCTGTTTGTTGTTTTTCTTGGTTTCAGATAAAGACGAGTAAGTGACGTACCCCTTCCTTCTGGAAGACTATCTCATGGCTGAAAATAACTTTGAATAGATTTAGGTTGTACATCAAGACTTTACCTCACCTCCATTTGTGATGCCTCTGGGCTGCTTACAGAATACACATCAGTTCATGCAGCTGTTGGATGTGCTACACTTTTTAAGGATGGCACTGTGATGTGATTTTTCAGAGTTCTCCAATAATCTGTGATTGCATCAAGCAGCATGCTTTTTTGCAACGTGTTACAATGAACTGTAAAGTTAATGTAAAATGTGAACTTACGATAATAGCCTTCTGCATCGGTCCAGTTATCTCTGAGGTTGGGATTCTCTTTGAAATCTTTTCCAATGCCAGCGGCCCGAAGACGAGCACTCTGAAATTAAAGAGGCAACGTGAACAGTTTACCCACTTGTCAGACATTTAAAGCACTTCTTTTAAACACAAAAGGGTAACACCAGATATAATAAAAGCATTTTACTCCAAATTAAATAAACTCTTACTATCACTTATGTAAATCCAACATAGCTGAAACATGAGACCAAAGTATCTTGATTCAAAATAACACTCAGAAAAAAAAAAAAAGGCCCGGTGTAGTGGCTTGTGTTTGTAGTCCCAGCTACTTGGTAGGCTGAGACAGGAAGATCACTTGAGCACAGGAATTCAAGGCTGCAGTGAGCCATGATCTCACTAATTACTGTACTCTGCACTTTAGTCTGGGACAGAATGAGACCGTATCTCAAAACAAAAGAGAAAAAAAAGAAAACTCAAAACCAGATACAATTTTCTATAGCTGTTATATCATTTGTGTTCTTCCCATACATGCATGAAATGTTAAGTCACTGGCTGCACTAGTTGACACTATGTGGAAAATTGAAAAATAAGAATATGTGGTACTTCTGATGATTCTTTACTGCACCTTACTCTCTGTGATGCCCAGAAGATCCTTCAATATCAACCAAGCAATGAGTACTGACACCAAAATTGGGTCAATACTCATTTCATTCTCTCCTAATTCATCTATATGTTGGTGCACCCGTTGCTCTGTGTGTGTGTGTGTGTGTGTATATATACATACACATACATGATTATCTTACCACATTTTTATTTTCCCTGTTATGTTTATCTTCTCTACCCCCTCTTATAAAGGCCTCTTATTTCTCAGGTCCTTAGAAAATTATATTGAAAATGTCCCCAAGTTTGACCATGTTTATAGTTTAAGACTTTCCCAACATAATGCATCGATAAAAATTTTAGAAAAAAATGGCAAAATCACCAAAATTTCTTAATCTACTCCATGTAACATTTCCAATTCTTCAATAAATTCTATTAAACTCCGTATCTTTAAGTTCTCAATTACCTGTTAATACAATATAGAGGCCCCAAAGTAGAGTCTATTCTAATAAAGACCTAGAAAATATTGGTATCTCCTTATCTCACCTAACTACCATATGTATGTGTATGTATTTAAATACACAATACAGTACAAATAACTACATGTTTATCATTTGGTGTTTTGACTTTTATAAAGCTCTCAAATTGTTCTGTCATACCTGTCTTAAAATTTGACATTAATTTTAGATTTATAAGATGCAAAACTAGTCGAGTTTTCAGACACCTTTCACCCACACTGCTCAAAATATTTATTACATTTGTTTTATCCTTCTTTCTCTGTATGTACGTACACACCCATATATTTATTGTATTTTTTTCTGTTTAACAGTTGATTTAAAATTACTTACATCAAAATACGCAGCAAACATATCATCAGATTCTGTAAACATATCAGGTGCCAACAACTTCTTCTGAGATGAACCTTAAAGGAAATTAGCATTAATGTTTCAAAAGTGAAGAGACGATTTAAAACACAAAATAAAATAAATGAATGGAAAGTCATTAATAGTAATTCAAACTTTTTTGCCCTCTTGCACATCAGTTTCCCAATAGTATTCAATTTAGAATCACTTTATTAACATTTAAGATACATAAAGGTATTCACTTTTTAGGAACAGAATGCATTTCAGGAAGTTGAAAGACTGGCTGGGCATGTGGCTCACGCCCGTAATCCCAGCACTTTGGGAGGCCGAGGTGGGTGGAACACCTGAGGCCAGGAGTTTGAGACCAGCCTGGCCAACAAGGCGAAACCCCATCTCTACTAAAAATAGAAAAATTAGTTAGGCAGGGTGGCAGGTGCCTGTAATCCCAGCTACTTGGGAGGCTGAGGCAGGAGAACTGTTTGAACCCAGGAGAAGGAGGTTGTGGTGAGCTGAGATCGCACCACTGCACTCCAGCCTGGGCGACAGAATTAGACTCTGGCTCAAAAAAAAAAAAAAAAGTCGAAAGACCTAATGTTAACTTTTACCATTCTTAGTTTAAATGAATAAGCTAATAGCTAAGCAATGACTTTATATTAAAATAAAAGCTCACCTTTAAAAAATGTTATTCATTTGCACCTTAAATCCCAAAAGGTTAATATTTCCACTACAGATCTAAATCTCTATGTATCTCTCCCTTAAAAAGTCCAACAATCCCATACAAAACTTGGCTAAAAAATAAAAGGAGTTTCTAGAAAAAATCTAGTAGCTTTAACCGTATGAACATACGCTCATTACCACTTACATTAAGGAAAATGCAAATTAAAACTACAATGAGGTATCATTTTCTGACCTCTGATACTAGTAGCTAAACATTCAAAGGTACAGTAACATTCTGTTAACAAGGCTCTGGATAAACAAGCACTCAGAAAGATGGCAAAATGGTATAACCCTTATAAAAGAGTGAAATTTGGTAATATATAGCAAAATTATATATTTACTCCCTCTTCTGACCCAGCAATCCCACTTCTAGGGAACTATCCTAAAACACAGTGGCCAAGAATTAAAGAATGACTTAATGCACAATGCCATTATAATCAGTACCCAATGAATAGCCAAAAACTGGACACAATTCAAGTATCATTAGAAGTCTGACTGAATAAACTATGGCATAGCCTATAAAAAGAGGTGAGGAAAAGCATACTGATCTAGGTATGTGTAGTTTGGTTTTGTATGTGTAGGAAGAATACAACATACACACATACATGCAATAATGAAAGACAAATGTATTATTAAGAAAAAAAAAGATGATTCCTAAAAATCAAAAGCAAATGACAATAAACCTAAACCTGTCAAATTTGTGGCATACCATACAGAGATTTCAAATGATTTTAAAAGACAGAGAATTGTGCCTATACACCTTAGAATGTATTCTAAAAAGAACCACTGAAATTTTAAACCAGTTAGTACATTTAGTAACAATAATCATACTGATGTCTTATGTTTCAAGATAACCTATCAGTAATCATGTTAAGAACTAAATTTTTCACTGTAATAAGACAGAAATATAAAATCTTAAATTAATAAGCCCCTATAATCTCAATTTTAAATCGGCAGTATCTCTGTAAACTCCTCCTTTCCAAGAGTATCTACTTCCTAACTTTGTCCAGTGAAAAGGCCCAGAAATAACAGACACTAGTAAGTGTCCTGTGATGTCTAAATGGCATTTCCTATTAAATGGAACCAGCGATCCTTGGAGAAATAGCTGATTCTGCTCTGGGCAAGACATGCACAAGATAAACCTGTGGCATCTTGCTAGAATGGGAGTTGGTAAACTATATACAGACTGTGGGCGAAATCTAGCCGGCTGCTTCTTTCTGTATGGCCTATTTTTACATTTGTAAGTGTTCGGGGGGGGGGAAACAGAATACTTTGTGGCAAGTGAAAATTAGATGAAATTCAAATTTCAGTTTCAAAGTTTTTTCGGGAACACAGCTATGCCCATTCATCAATGTACTGTCTGTGGCAGGTTCTGCCCTCCAACAAGTTCACCATATGGAACTATAGAGGAAAAGGCCAATATACCTACTAAAGGCTCAACTATTTACTACCTAACCTCTTAGACAAAAAGCTTGCTTGGTCCCCGTTCTAGAAAGTAAGAAAGCTATATTCAATACTAAAGGACTAGGCCAAAAGGACACGAGAAATCAACTGAAAAAGGGCTCCTTTCCCCAATCCAGTTAGACCAATTTGAGCTTCAGAAAGAAAAAATAACAGCACCAGATGGAAACACATCAAGCACATAATGACACCAAACGATGAACACCTAACACAACAGTCAATATCTCATTAGATATTGTTGGAGGTTGCTAGGGCACCAACTCTATTCTAAAAACTGGTAAATAAACGAAATAATAAACATGCATTTACCCTGCCTTTCCTGTACAAACTATCTTTTGGGGTAACCAAAAAGTGGAAACTTCTTTTATTTAATGTTTTTAAACATTGATGTTCTTAACTGATAGAGATACAGACAAGTACTTACAGGGGGAATAAAATCATAATTGGATTTACTTTAAAATAGCAAGCAAAACAAAAGGTAATGAACATGCGGGAGTTCAGTATACTATTCAGGATATGTGAACTAATAAAAACATATTTATAGAGAACATTTGTAAGGACATATTTAATATTATATTACTGCAATATTTAGCAGAAGCAACACGTCTAATTCCTTTTACTTTTCCCAATCCCACCCCAAATAAGGTCCCTTATTATAAAGTTATAGAGCTAAAAATTCAGAGAAAAGCGTCGCCAGGACAAAACTCTTATCTCACTCACCATTATTCTGTTCAACTGTCATTAGATTATGCTTGGCTTTCACTGAGGCCTCAAATGTATCAACGTTTTCCCGTTCATACTCTTTAACATCAGCAGCTACTCGCTCCAGAATGTCATCTGGAGATGGTGATCGTGTTCTCGTACTGCTCTGGGGGCTGCTTGGTTCAGATGGCACAGACATATTGCTATCTTCAGCAAGGTATTTATATTTCTGTAATAACAATACAGAAAATAATACTTTCATAAAATCGGATGCTATCCAAATATATTCAATGCTAAGAGTTGCTGCAGTGAAAAGTTAAGAGAATGTATCAAATAATGTAACAAACCAAAAAGTATTTATATCTTGGGGTTCAATCAAATCCACAATCCCTTATGTAATTTCTAAATTCACAAAAATCTGAAAAAGTTTTTCTTTGGTACACATTCATCAGGTGGCAACACTTCACCTTATCAGATGAGATAACATTTATTGTCTTATTTTCTCCCCAGTGTGACTATTACAGGATGCCTCACTGTAGAAATGCTAATGTGTTTGATTATGGGGTCCACTGCAGAACCCACTGATGGCACAAAATAGATGCACCATAACACCTTTCTAAAACTCAAAATGTCTGAGTTCTGAAGCACATATGGCCCCAAGGGTTGGAGGTAAGGGGTTGTGGACCTGAGCAAGAACAAAAAAAGATTCATCCATATCTTCAGGGATATCAGTTTATTAACTACAATTTTACCAGTGTCCCAGAAAAGTAAGCTCCCTCTGGAATTAGTTTTGCCCTACTTCCTTTCTGGTGATGCAAGTTCTATCCTTCACTCCAACGTGGCATACTATTACCTGATTTATGGTTTGCTATGTGTGTTTAGGTAAGCTGCCACAGCTGTTTTCTCCTTTTCTCTTCTGAGGAAGAGCTGACAAACTTCCAAATCAGCAAACCTTATAATTAAATGACTATATCAAGATCTTTGTACAACATTCTTTCCCCACCCAATCTTCTTCATCATCTGGCTCTAGTCTTAAAATTATTTTTCAAATGTTTCATTTAAACTACCACATTCACATTACAAAACTTGCCATTACTAGATATTAAAATACTTACTTTATTCATAGTAACATGCATAATTTTTTGTTAAATAAAATTCCTCCAGTTTATTCTACACTCATACGTGTTCATTAACTTAAAAACAAAGCAAACCTCAAATTCTTATGTATTACAGAAGAGGTTTATATCAGAATTCTATGTATAAACAACCAGAATTCTATGTATAACCAACAAAGAGCAACCATCTCAGTTTTAGTAACTAAAAAAATGATCATTTTTTCAAATCTCACGAAGATAATTTTATATATACTCTCCTTTTCTAAGGACCTGTTAAACTGTTATTAATGTAACTTTTTTGTTAAAGCAAAAATATCTTTATTTTACAACAATGATTATTTTTCATTAAAATCACATACCTGAACAATTGCCTGCCTTTGGATTCTTCTCTGTTCTATCAGGGCTTCTTCATCTTCTTCCTCTACATCAAAGTCTTCAAGGCTTAAAGAAAAATTCAAACACCCTTAGAGATTCTAAAACCATACCCCTTCTACATTTTAAAGACAGGAAAATGTAGGTATCAGTAAGTTAGAGCAAAAGTCTTAAGTCATATTACCCTTATTTCCAAACCATCTCAGTTAACTGCCTGGTTTCGAATGCAGGGAAGTAACCTAACTTTGTCTGTTTTCTTCTCATCTATTTCATGGCACCAAAATTGGGAATAAAAGAAATAACTCCAGGTTTACAAAAGTTACCACTAGTTTTTTCATGACCTTAATGAAGTCACTTTACCTCTCTAGCCTTACTTTTCTCACGGCAAGGGTAAGATAAGTAAATTGCTACCTTTTCTGGATGTCAGAACTGCCTAAAAGCTCAAGAAAGCAATAGCCGTATTTCTCTATCAAAAATGCACATGCAAATAATCTTAAGGGGAATGTGGCTCTACTCCGAAACACTACCCTCAACCCTCCGCACCTATCCCTCAAACACCAACCTCCACAATCTTTATGATCCTTCCCAGTGCAATGTTTTCAATGATCCTACTTGCTGAATGTTTGCTGCAGAATAGGCAAACTACACTCTGATTATATCAGAATCTATGTAGAATGCCCTTCCCCAATCCAACTTCCTTAATCACCTGGTTTTAATCAGGGTTTTTCATCCTTAGCATGATTTATTTTCGGATATGGATAGTTGCGTGTGTGTGTGTGTGTGTGTCGGGGGTGGTTATCCTGTGCACTGTAGAATGCAGTATCCCTGGCCTCTAGCCAACAATCACAAGAAGAAATGTCCTCAGACATGTCCCCAGGGAGGCAAATAACCTCCTGTTGAGAATGGCTCTAGATTTGTCCCATTTATTTTTGAGATATTCCACTTAGACAATTAAGTTTGCATTTTATTTATTTTTGTTTTTTGAGACAGGGTCTCACTCTTTTTGCTCAGGCTGGAGTGCTGTGGTGTGATCACAGCTCACTGCAACCTCCTCCCCGCAGGGTCAAGCGATCCTCCCCCCTCAGCCTCCTGACTACAGGCGTGTGCCACCAGGCCTGGCTAATTTTTGTATTTTTTCTAGAGACAGGGAAAAATATCCCCACAATTGTAACAGGCACTTGAAATGCTTCTACATTTTCACATTGTAACAAGGACACCCACCACAAAATAGCCTCAATTGCAAAGTATGTATCATCTAACGCAAACTCAAAGGTCTAAACTTTGGCCGGGCGCGGTGGCTCACACCTGTAATCCCAGTACTTTGGGAGGCCAAGGCGGGTAGATCACGAGGTCAGGAGATCGAGACCATCCTGGTTAACACGGTGAAACCTCGTCTGTATTAAAAATAGAAAAAATTAGCTGGGCTTGGCGGTGGGCGCCTGTAGTCCCAGTTACTCGGGAGGCTAAGGCAGGAGAATGGCGTGAACCCGGGAGGTGGAGTTTGCAGCAAGCGAAGATCACACCACTGTACTCCAACCCGGGTGACAGAGAGAGACACTGTCTCAAAAAAAAAAAAAAAAAAAAAAAATCTAAACTTTTATAGAAAATTCCTCCCAAAATCTGGTAACTCTGGCTCTGCAATTTATTAGTGTTCATAATAAAAACAAACGGCAGGCTCACAATAAAATGAAGGCCCAATATTCACTCTAGCCAAAGCTGAAACACCTAAATTCAGAAAACCACTTACTAACTCTGATACAACCTACACAATATTCACAAAAGACTTTTAAATTCAGAGCCAAATTAATGGAGCCACTTATAATATTTAGGTGGAAATTATTTAACAATTTCCAGGCCAAATAAGACTTCTCTAAACTGGAAAAACAAAGTTACGGGAAAGTTCTATTCTTACTTATCATCAGACGAAGATTCCTGCTCAACTTTCATTCCTTCAGAAAGACTTCCTTTAAATTTATCTTCCTTTACTTTGCTTCTGCTCCTTCGTCTACGACCACCCCGTGATCGAGACCGCCTTCTCAAGCGTGATCTGCTCCTCCGACCTCTGTCCCTATTTAAAGGAGAAGAAAAAACAGGTATACATTTTTTTAAATGTCAAAGTGGGAAAAGGCATGCATGTGTGGGCACAGGGGATATATAGATATTCTACTTTCTACTCAATTTTGCTGTAAACCTAACACTCTTCTAAAAATATAGTCTATTTTTTAAAAAAGTCGTTTGAAAATTTGAAGAAAAAGAACAGAACATCAGACTGAGATAATCAGCTTAGCTGAAGATAACTAAAACACAACCATTCCTTATCAAATTCTGAACTAAGAAATTATTCCCATGGATATGAACTTGAACTTAAATGTAAGCTCTATGGGGATAAATACCTACTGTTTCTTCGTATTCTTATAGCATCAATGTTGTGTACACAAGCACTGGAGTGAAGGGAGAGACTGAAAAGGGGCAAAAGGGAACTTGGAGTGATGAAAACATTCTCTAACTTGAGTGTGACTTATGTGTCTGTCAAAATACACACAACTTTACACTAAAAAGCATTTTACTTTATGTAAGTTACATGTATGTTTCAACGAGCTCAACTTAAAGAAATCTTACTAAAATGAGAGCAAACGAGTACTTACAAAAAAAAAACAAAAACAAAAAAACTGGGGGCCAGGTGCAGTGGTGCACACATATAATCTCAGCACTTTGGGAGGCCAAGACAGGCAGAGCTCGGGAGTTTGAGACCAACCTGGGCAACATGGCGAAACCCCGTCTCCACAAAACATACAAAAAAATCAGCTGGATGTGGTGGCACATGCCTATACTCCCAGCTTCTTGGGAGGATTCCTTGAGCCCAGGAGGTTGAGGCTGCAGTGAGTCATGACTGCACCACTGCACTCCAGTCTGGGCAACAGAGCAAGATCCTATCTCAAGAAAGAAGAGAAAAGAGGGGAGAGGGGAGAGGGGAGAGGGCAGAGGGCAGAGGGGAGAGAGAAAAGAGAAAGAAGGGAGGCCAGGGGTGGAGTGGGGTGGGGAGGAAAACCCTCAGGCAAGGAGAATGTCAAGAGATATGATAGCAGAGATGAGAAGAAAACCTTGGAATGTGCAAATTGGAGTAAAGAATAGTAACAGATCAAATTGAGCTGAATATTGGTCCAACATGAACACACAAGGTAAATCAGAAACAGAACATGTCACAACACTCCCAGAAAGCCTCAGGAATTGGAGACTCCCTATCCTCCGCAAGATGGTGTGAGGTAAGAGCTGAAGACAGAATTGGTTGAAAGCCTTTATAAACAGCCAGACTCCCCTCCCCAACTCAGTGGAAAACGTCAACCACTCCCTTTGCATTCTAGCAGAACACTTAAGATTTACTTTCTAGGGAAGTGTTGGCCATTCCAGATGCTGAGAGGCACACACCAAAAATAGAGGGATTATAAGGAAGCTTACATTATGAAGAAAGAGAACTCTACTGGTAGCCAGGTCTATTTCCCAGGAGGAGATGAAAGGATTCTGGAAAACTCATAGCCTAAGAAAATACATCTACAGTCACCGATATCCAAAAATATCTAATTACTCTGAAGTGATAACCACTAGCTGGCAAGTTCTATACTGTCACAATAGAAGAAAAATCCCATTCAGCTTCCTGAGTACCTAAATATTAAGTCAGAATAGGCAGCAATGAAGGGTCCAGCTGTGTGAGAAAAGTCTTCAAATGAAAGGTAAACATGCAGCAAAAGGACTCTGGGAAGAAACAAAATATAGCAAAGAAAACTACAAAGAACAAAAATCGCACAAAATAACCTCACTATTGTCTGAGAGATAAGAAATACTATTTCTGGAAAACAAACATTAATAAAACATTAATATATGGAGCGATACAGAAGGTCCAATTGGAAAAAAACAGAAAGAAAACAAAAAAAAGCACAAACATTTCCCAGAAGGCCATAAACTCCCTGCTTTAAAGGCCCTATCTAGTAATTAGCAAAATAAATGGGGATAAAGATCCACGTATAGAGGCACATAATAAAATTTCAGAACACAAGAAATTTTTTATAAAAAGGGAAGAGAGAAAAAAGCAAGTCGTAAGATGAGCTTGGAGCCAGCAGACTAGCAGTCTCAGAAGGCAGGTCCTCTCTGCCCTCCTCCCCCGACTATTTGCCCAGCAATGAATACATACATGATCACAATGATTACACTGACTCTAGAAGAACAAAAAGGTGTGATGAAAATAGGCAAAAGAGAAACATGGGTGAGGGGTGGTATTAAAAACCCTCATTGTGGCTGTGTGCGGCGGCTCATGCTTCTAATCCCCGCACTTCGGGAGGCCGAGACGGGCGGATCACTTGGGGTCAGGAGTTTGAGACCAGCCTGACCAACATGGTGAAACTCCATCTTTATTTAAAAAAATACAAAAAAAAAAAAAAAAAATTTAGCCAGGCATGGTGGCACGCGCACCTCTGTAGTCCCAGCTACTTGAGAGGCTGAGGCAGGAGAATTGCTTGAACTCAGGAGGTGGAGGTTGCAGTGAGGTCGCGCCATTGCACTCCAGCCTGGGCAACAGAGTGAGACTTTGTCTAAAAAAAATAAATAAATAAAACCCCTCATTGTCCAGAGTGTACTCAGACCATGCATTTCCACTTCTAGGAATACAGCATACAAAAATTCTGAGAGATATGTAGAGATGACTACAATATAAGCCTTTGTTTTTTAAGAATTACATTCATTTATTACTTCAATTAAAAATGTTAAAAGACTGGCGAACAAATACCCATTTATGTTTTATATCAAAATATTTCATGTATGTATGAATTTTAAAAAATGATTCCCTGCTTTATAAACCACCTTTTTAACCTACTACTGACTACATATGCTTCAGATAAAGTGGTTTCTATGGCAAATTAAATAGGCCTTGGCCAAAGTCTACAGTAACTATCAATATGCAAAATTAATATAAAATGATAAGAAACTGGGCTATTTACTACTATATGATCTACCTTGCCAGTTTAAAAAAAAAAAATAAATAAATCCCTAGGCCTGGCTCATTTAATATTTATCTCTTATAAAAGAGAGAAAAAAGTCCTACTCTTAAAAGATTAATTTTATTGCATCTTAAATGAATAATGATTTGGTTAAAATTCAAAGGAAACGATATAAAAGAAAACCCATGTGTAAAGACTGCTGGTAAAAGGAAACTGGGAACACAACTACGATTTTTCAGAGAAAACTGGTCAAAAGAAAACCTACCAACTGAGCTCATTGGTGGTTTAAAAACATTCAGAGTTTAATGAATCACAAGGATGAAATGTCTTTACCTTCTCCGAGGAGACCTGCTTCTTCTTCTTGGAGACCTGCTACGTCTGAGTGGGGAACGAGACCTCCTTCTAATGGGAGATCTACTTCTTCTTCGGGTTGGAGACCATCTATTGATGGGGCTGGCATCTTTTGATCTTTCACGTCTACTGAGGATATCATCTCGAGGTCGTGTTCTTAAGGGGATCAAATGCAAGTTAAAAGAAAAACAAATCAAAGTAAATGATTTTTTTTCTATATGCAAGGAATATCTGTACGAAAAGGCACACTAGCCTAAAGAGAGTGAACTCTGATTAATGTGTTTTGTAACAAAACTTACTCAGATGGCCACAATGACATTTTAGTGTTATTGCAGGCAAACAATGAAAGGTCTTATTTCCTCTGGTCCCACAATTTGAAGAATTACTAAAGGTTATTCATACCAGTAAAGTTACTGATTCTAATTTCAAATAAACAACCCAAATAAAACCTGCCCATGTGAGTATATTCCATTTACTCAAATATCCCATTTCCATTGAAGACTTTTTCTTTCTACATTTTGACATTTCTCCAATTAAGGATCTTTTCTTTTTTTTTTTTTTTGAGACAGGGTCTAACTCTGTCACCTAGGCTGGAGTGTAGTGGCGCGAACATGGGTCACTGCAGCCTTGACCTCCCAGGCTCAGGCAATCCTTCCATTTCAGCCCCCCTGAGTAGCTGGAACCGTTAAGGGCATGCCACCACACCTGACTAATTTTGTTTTGTAGTGATGGGGGTCTCGCTATGTTGCCCAGGTTGGTCTTGAACTCCTGGCCTCAAGTGGTTCTCCCTCGGCCTCCAAAAGTGCTGAGGTTACAGGCGTGAGCCACCACGCCTGGCCAAAAATCTTATTTTTAATGTCAAGTATAATAGGCCAGGCACAGTGGTTCACACTTGTAATCCCAGCACTTTCAGAGGCTGAGGGAGGATCACCTGAGCCCACGAGGTTGAGGCTGCAGTAGCTGTGTTTGTGCCATTGCAGCCCAGGTGACAGAGTGAGAACTTGTCTCAGAAAACCAAAAACAATAGCTAGGTGTGGTGGCTCACACTCGTAATCCCAGCACTTTGGGAAGCTGAGGCAGACGGATCACTTAAGCTCAGGAGTTTGAGACCAGCCTGGGTAACATGGCGAAACCCTATCTCTACAAAAAATATAAAAATTAGACAAGTGTGGTGGCATGTGAATATAGTCCCAACTACTAGGGAGGCTCAAGGGGGAGGATTGCGTGAGTCTGGGAGGCAGAAGCTGCAGTGAGCAGAGATCATGCCACTGCACTCCAGCCTGGGTGACAAGAGTGTGACCTTGCCTCCAGCCTCCCCAAAAAACCCCACAAAAACCCAACTTTTCAACACTTATCACAGAAGTACCTTTCAGTGAGTTTTACTCGTTTAATGTGATATTTGTATTACAACAGGCCTTTCTACAGCTTAATTTTTCAAAACAGGTTTTGAACATTTCTTAATGTTATTCCAGGTTTGGACACAACTATTTAATCTGAACAGTTAGACTGTAAATAGGTTTGTCTCCATAATCAAATAATAACATTACAGTATTTTCCTAATTTATTATTATTTTTTTGAGACAGAGTTTAGTTCTTGTTGTCCAGGCTGTAGTGCAATGGTGTGATCTCGGCTCACTGCAACCTCCGTCTCCCAGCTTCAAGCGATTCTCCTGCCTCAGCCTCGAGTAGCTGGGATTACAGGCATGAGCCATCACGCCCAGCTAATTTTGTATTTTTAGTAGAGACAGGATTTCTCCATGTCGGTCAAGCTGGTCTCGAACTCCCGACCTCAGGTGATCCACCTGTCCCAGCCTCCCCAAAGTGCTGGATTACAGGCGTGAGCCACTGCACCCAGCCTTCCTCATTTAATAAAAACCTAAAAACACAACCTGTCTTGCATGTTTCAGCACAATATACAGAACCCAAGAATCTTTCTCTGATCCAGCCAAAATGAGCAAGGTAGACTTTGACTCAGATCTGCAGTGCTTACTTCTTGGTAGTGCTTTCTTGATAGGGTCATCTGAGGAAACTCTTTTATTTAATCTGCTCGCCCACACGCACAGTCTCAAAGACCAGTTAAAAAATATAAACGGGCCAGGCACAGTGGCTCATGCCTGTAATTCCAACATTTTGGGAGACCAAGGCAGGCGGATCACTTGAGGTCAAGAGTTCGAGACCAGCCTGGCCAACATGGGGAAACCTCGTCTCTACTAAAAATACAAAAAAAATATATATATATATTAGCAGGGTATGGTGGCACGCGCCTATAGTCCCAGCTACTTGGGGAGGCTGAGGCAGGAGAACTGCTTGAACCCGGGAAGCGGAGGTTGCAGTGAGCCGAGACTGCACCACTGCACTCCAGCCAGGCAAAAGAGCAAGACTCCGTCTCAAAAAAAAAAAAAAGAAAAGAAAAATTAAAAAAAAAAAGAAAGAAAAATAAAGAAAATAAACATGTTCATCCTCACTAGCCATCTAAGAAATTTCGATTAAAACAATTTTTGGGCTTTTTTTAAGGGTGACAAAATACTATATGGTATCCTGGTAATAAAGATCTTCCTGAACTTTCCTAATAAAGTTTTAGGAAAAAGGGCAGTTTACGTAGTCAAAGAAGTAGAAATTGATCTAACTTTCCTGGATGGAAATTTAGCAATAACTTTCTAAAATGTAAATGTACATACCCTGAGACTTTGCAAGTTCACTTTTACGAATCTATTCTATAAAGAAACCTCACACATAACCAATGGACATCTTTGCATATAATAGTGAAAAATTGGAACCAGCCTAAATTTTTCATCAGTTTCAACAGGAGAATGATACTGTAATATATCTACATTGAAATACCAGTTGCTGTTAGGCAGAATGAAAAAGAATCTCTATGTTTTGTCACAGAAGTGTTTCCTGAAAAAAGCCACATGTGAATATGAATGACTCCAGTTTCATTAAAAAAAAAAAAAATTCCCTCATATCCATGTTATTGTCTGTGCAATGAAAGAGCTAAGAGAACATAAATTTCTAAGGAGTAGTACTGGAGAAACGAAAAGGGAGCCAATTTACAGGCTTATTTGGATTTCTCTTTAATAAGTATGCACCACTTCTGTAATTAAAAAAAAAATTTTCTTTCAAATACTCAGCTCTAGTCTTTAATAAACTCCTCAGAATTTTCTCTTCAAACTGAAAGCAAACTGAAAGACCACCAGGATAATTAAGAAGCACTTGAGATAACAGAATCAGTAAAACTAATAACTGCCTCCCATCCAGGAAGCCAAAGGAAAAGGGGGCTATTTAATCACAGTGCCAACAAGACTCTCTTAAGACATAGCACTTGGAAATTAAATTTGAAATTTCTCTGAAAATATGATGACTTCACTTTCAGGGTCAGTTTGTATTTATACCCATTCACAGAAAATATTAATATGAACACAGTAAATAGGAATTAATAACATCCTTACACAGTATAAGCCAATATTCTTTTAATAAGCAAAACCCGGCTGGCAATTTCATAATATGTAAATATTAAATATAAAAGATATTAAGAAATCAGTTTCTAAAGTAGTTTAAGTGGTATAAACACTCCTCCTCCCTGCAAATACTTTCGTTCTATGATCCTAGGTAAATTATATAAATTATCTGATTCTATTTCTCCATTTATAAATTAGGTATGAGAGCCCCTTCACCTGATGAGTTAAGATAATCACATGAGGATTTATAAGAACTAAGACAATATATTATTCAAATAGTAGAAAATAATTTTTTATACTATTCTTCTTAAGCTTAAGAGGACTACTTGTCAACAATGAGATTATATGTATTACAAAATTTTCCATTTTAATTATACCTTGGCGACCAAAAAATGTTGGTATTGGTTTCTATTTATACTGTTAAAATTTAAAACTCATGCAAATACAAGAAAATGAACAGAATACAATTGTTAAACTGATTACCTTTCCCCCTTTTCAAAAAGTTTCAGCCTATCACTGTTCAATGAAGTAATAATCCTCTCTCTGCATGGTCCCAATGAAGATTTATCAGCCAAATTACATGGATTGAAAGGAGTGCCTTAGCAAACTAGGTATTAAATCAACAATGTGAAAAAAAACCCAATTCTATCATCAAGCTCAGTATTTGTTAAACACCTATAATTACAATACTCATTGACAAAAGTGCAAATATTAACATGGTTAATGGACTGGATTACTTAAAATTATGAAACTCGTCACTACTTCACTTATTTTTATTTTTACTTACTACTTCATTTTTAATTGTCCACAAGTTCTAGTTTTCCGTGTAAGATCTCATGCATTGGTAAAAAGCTTTAACATTTTGTAAACGTTACCTGGGAGAAGAAAGTCGTCTTCTCTCTGGTTCTCTTCGTTTTCTTTCTAAGGATCGGCTCTTGGCTCTTCTACCAGGAGACAGTGTTCGAGAGGGAGATTTGCTCTGCTTCGATCTTCTATCATTTAAAAGTGGAGACCTGCTTCTTCTTGATTTATCACGTGGTTTTGGAGACAAACTTCTTCTTTTAGGACTACGACCAGGTCTTCTACTGGGTGACCTATTTTCCTTCCCAGATGAAGCATCTTTAGAGGGAGATTTAATTGGCTTCTTTTCTTTATCAGTTTCAGACCGTTTTGATTTTCTCTCTTTGGACCGTGACCTTCCATCTTTGGATTTACCTCTTAAATCAATTGGGGATCTGGATTTTTTACATCGATCGCGACTTCTACCTTCATTTACAATTGGGGATTTTTTCCTATCTTTTGATTTACTTTTATCTTCAATTTTAACCTTATCATCAGTAGGAGATCTGGCCTTACCAATTTTCTCTTGAGATCGCCTTCTAAGGATAGGGGATTTTGATTTCCTTGCTTGATCTTGAGACTTACTTCTTTTGGATGGGCTTTTAGATTTTTTTCTCTCCTTTGACTTGCTCCTAGTTGTTTTCTCTTTAACAATTTCAATACCCCCCTTACTTTTCTTTTTATCAGACCTATGTCTAGTCCGTTCTTTGGATCTGCTTTTACTTCGTTTTTTTGTAGTATTTTTATTGTCCACAAGTTCAAGTTTCCCCTTTGTACTTGAAGATCTAGTACTAGACCTATTTCCATTTCTTGCCTTCTCATGAATCTCCCCCTCTTCTTCAGAGCCAGACTCATAACCTTGCAAAATGAGCCCCATACCAGATTGGACCTTTCCTTCCATTAACTCATTATCAAGTTCGGCCTTAATCAAGGCTCTCTGTTTTTCCAAGTCTTCTAGCAAAGCTAAATCATCAAGTTTAGTTCTTTTTGCTGGAGACATACCCTCTTTATCAGAAGCATCGATAACCTCTTTTCTTTTGTGTTTCTTGTGTTTATGCTTATGTTTATGTTTTTTATCCTTGTCTTCTTCTGAGGAATGTTTATGTTTCTTATGTTTACTTCTGTGTTTATGCTTCTTTTTTTTGTGACGACTGTGCTTATTTTGAGACTGGTCTTCTGATACTTCTCCATTTTCTTCGTTTACACTCTTTTCAGAATTAGCATCTTCCATCCTATAAATATATCAAACACACTTTAAAATCATATCATTTAACAAGTATTCAAAGAGTTATAACAAAATAACAGTAATGAGAAAATACATCTCAATGTAATACATGAAGTCAGTCACTAAAATTTTTTCAGAACAGCTTCACACATTTTATTTCAAAGAAGGTCTATGCAAGAACTGAGTTGGATAGTGACACAACTTTATTGTGTTTCTAATGGTTGAACTCACCAAAAGTATTAGAGGAAATCCCTAATGGAGTGAGCTTAAAAATTACAGGTTAGAGAAAAAGGGAAAAACAAACCAGGCACAGCAAAACCTCATTAACATTGATTTAGTTCAAGGAGCCACTCAGTAACTTAATTTTTAAACTAACATTTCTCACACATGAACAACCAAAGGGCCCATTTTCTTTTTTAGTAAGACTAATAACTATTAACATACACTGGAAGACTAATCTCTTTCTCCACTTGAAATTCATAAAACTTGGTGAGCGGATTTCATCTTATACCTTAAAAACAAAACAAAACTCTAGAGCCAATACTGAGCTATACCCAAAATAAGCACTCAATCAGTGTGCACTGGTAGCTGATACTGATGAAGGTGACAGTATAAACACATCCTCAAAAGTTAAATCTTCAAAGAGAACTAAACCAGAAGTTAGGACTCTAGATTTGTAGTTGCCACTAAGCAATCATATGACATTCGGTTGAACCACATGGAAGGGCCTTTTGTAAGTCAACAAGTCTAATATCAGCAATTTAATATAGTTCAACCCAATATTCATTCAGCAAGTGATTTAATCTCTCTGAATTTCAAATGAGAACTCAGTTTCCCAAAATACATTCACGTTAACAGATGCTTTGGAAATAAATAATAAAGTGGGGGATTCTGTGCTTAAATGTTTGGCTCACGCTGAGTTAAAGAGTTTATGATTCTAAATTATTTTATCAAGTCTTTGGTGTTTAATAACCCCAGGTTAAACACTGGGTCAAAAGCATTATTTAATGTTCTCTTTAAAAGTTACTCTATAATAAACCATCATCCTACAATATCAGACCAAAAGTGGCCTTAAATTATCTAGATTCAGGCCATCCTACTATTTTTGGAGGAAGCTATGGTTTATTTTGTCAGGTCTCATATTATATACTCCTATACTTTTAGTAAGTTTATCCTTTCAACCTAAGAATTCATCAGTCTACTTAGAGTCTCTTTAACATTTGAAAAAACCTCACCAACTACAAGTAAGCATTAAGCCAAGGGGCAGGAAAACAGAGGTACAAGCCAGGTGCAGTGGCTCCCGTCTGTAATCCCAGCACTTTGGGAGGCTGAGGTGGGCGGATCACCTGAGGTCAGGAATTCAAGACCAGCCTGACTAACATGGTGAAACCCCGTCTCTACGAAAAATACAAAAATTAGCCAGGCATAGTGGCACATGCCTGTAATCCCAGCTACTCAGGAGGCTGAGGCAGGAGAATCGCTTGAACCTGGGAGGCAGAGGTTGCAGTGAGCCGAGATCGTGCCATTACACTCCAGCCTGGGTGACACAAAACCCAAAACCAGTATTTGCCTCCCTCAAAGAAATTAATATCTGGTGGTACATAACCATCAAATACTGGAGAAGTACAATGATGAAGACATGAATAGGGGCATTATGGGAACCCTGAAGGATCACCTAAACTCATTTTGAGAACAGTCAGGGACAGCGTTTTATAGATCACAGAAAGAAACCAATTTGTTAAGCAGGGACTTTCGGAGGACAGAAGAAATATTTACTGAGAAAGGACAGGGATTAAAAAATAAAGGTTAGCCCAGGCACAAAGGCTCAGGTCTGTAATCCCAGCACTATGGAAGGCCAAGGTGGGAGAATCACTTGAACCCAGGAGTTCAAGACAAGCCTGGGCAACATAGTGAGACCTCATCTCTACTAAAAATCAAAAACATGAGCTAGGTGTGGCAGCACAAACCTGTAGTCCCAGCTACTCAGAGGGCTGAGGTGGGAGGATTACTTGAGTCTGGGAGGTCAAGGCTGCAACGAGCCATGATGGCGCCACAGCACTCCAGCCTGGGCGACAGAGCAAGACCCTGTCTTAAACAACAACAACAACAACAACAACAACAACAAACACGTTGAGTAACACTGCCCTAGAGAATGAGTAAGGAATTAACAAGAAGAGAAAAAGGGGCATTTCAGATAGAGAAAGACGGTGACAAAGGCAGTTATATATAGCAAACTGCAAGTAGATCAGTGTTGTGGAAGGCATTGAGGTTAAGATTCCAAGTGGAGCCAGGCGCGGTGGTGCACAACTGTACTCCCAGCTACTCAGGACCACTTGAGCCCAGGAGTTTGCAGCTGCAATGACCTATGACTGTACCACTGCACTCCAGCCTGGGCAACAGAGAGAACTCTCCATCTCTTAAAAAAAAAAAGATTCCAAGTAGACAAAGTCTAGGAGATGACAAAATAGTATATGATTCTAGGAGTGGGTGGTTGAGAGAGAATTAAAGGTTCACTGGAGTCACAGAGGTCCACGAACTGCAAAAGTAGGTTGTCTAGCCAGGTCTCACAGTCTCGAACAAACTTGCTGGGAGAAGGGGTGGGGGACAGAGAGAATGGTGGTATGATTGAGAAGTTATTAATTAGTTGACAGCAATGAGGGGGAGTGAAAAACACACAGCCACTACAGGGTATCATACTCAAAGAACTTTGATTTTTGGATGTCACATTGCCAACTTCCATTTCTGGCAGGAAAAGGTATTTAAGAGATGTGCAGGAGAAGCTACGTTCTCTGGTGAAAGTCAGGTTTTAATTTGGGTTGACTTCTCTCTAATGGAGTATGAGAAGACACAGGACAAATAAAGTAGCGTTCTCTGGATCATTAATTTTTCTCAAAGAATTGGAAGAAGTGCAGTATCTTGGTATTAAAAAAACAACACCAGGCCATGTGCAGTGGTTCACATTTGTAACCCCACACTTTGGGAGGCTGAGGTGGGAGGATTCCTTGAGCCCAGGAAAATTCAAGACCACCTAGGCACCACGGCGAGACTCTCTCTCTACCAAAAAATTTAAATTAACTGGGTGTGGTAGCATGTGCTTATAGTCCCAGCTACTCAAAAGGCTGAGGTAGGATCACTTGAACCTAGGAGGGGATCACTTGAGTCCAGGAGTAAAAGGCTGCAGTGAGTCATGACCACGCCACTGCACTCCAGCCTGGGCAACAAAGGAAGACCCCATCTCAAAAACAAAAAAACAAAACACCATCACTGCTTTATTATGGAAGGGAAAGAAGTCACATAGATTTCAGTAAAAAAGATTCCAACGCATTTTAACTTTGTTCTTTATACAGGCTATATTCTCATCCTTTTCCCCCAGAAATCTCCCATCCCATAATCCAGAAGGTCTCTTTTTCCTGAACCTTGACTTACAGGGGGAAAAGTCTGAGAAAAATTTAGGCTAATTCAAGTTATGAAGGTAGGAGAGTCTTTAAAGATTGAGAATTACCTTTAGGCATATAAAATCTAGTGCCCAAAGTACAAAATTCTAGTCACTAAGCTCAAATTCAAAATTACCTAAAGTTTTGAGTTTTAACTCAAGACTGTCCTCAAGACAAAGGATAGTCGAGTGGTTAAGCGTCTCTGGAGCCAGACTGCCTGGGTTCAAACCCCAGTTCCATTACTTACTAGTTGTGCGGTCTTGGCAAGTGATCCTCAGGAATCTCATCTACATGATGGAGAAAATAATAGTACCTACCTGAAAAGGTGTTATGAAGTTTACACAGTGAATAGATGTTAAATGCTTATGACAGTGCCTAGCACAGACCAAGTCCCCTCCACCCCCAAATAAGCTATTATTATTGTATAGATGCTAGATAAATATATTTATTTACAAAAATCCTGTGGAGCTGAAAGGGCTGCTAATAAGAATGTTATTTTAAGGAACAGCATCAAAGAGCATAGATTCTGGAGTCAAAGTACCTGGTTTAAATGCTGCCTCCAACATGACAAAGCTATTGTAACCTTAGGCAAGTTGCTCTTCTGTGCCTCAGTTTCCTCAACTGTAAAACATGGGGAAATAGTACTGACAAATCATAGGGCTTACGAAAATTAAAGGAGTTCATAGTATAAAAGGCTGTCACATTAGGTGTTCAAGAAATTTCTCCCCATTTGAGACTTCTGAGGTTTAAGGGACTTGCCCAAGGTCACACATACAACAAACCAGTGAGAAGGCCAGTATTCCAAGTCAGTCAAAAGATCTTCCATTTGATTAAGATGCTTTAGAAGTCAGATTATGTCACTATTCTTTGTGAAACTTTATTGCTTTCTACCTTATTCAGAGCAAAAGGTCCTATACTTACAGCCCCAAAATCCCCAACACTCTAAACCTAACACTCTTCTCCCACGGTCACCCTGCTCCAGCCACACCATGCTCCTTCAATAGGCATACTCACATCTCAGGTACGTGGTACCTGTTTCTCCTGCCAGGAACGCTTTCCCCAGATACATGCATTCCTGGCTACCTTTGCCTACCTTAGGTCTTTGCTTAAACGTCACTTTCTCAAACAAGTTTTCCTGATCAATCTATTTTAAATGCAAAACCACCCCACTGCACACATACTTTCCTTCTGTGCTTAACATTTTTCTCCAAAGCAACTGTTACCACTAATATAATTATTGTTTGTCTCTCCCTATCATATTGTAAGCACTCTTGAGCAGAATTTTCATTTTAGTTCACTGTTCTGTGTCTAAGGGCCTAGATTATCTAATCTATAGCAGGTGCTCAGTAAGTATTGTTTGTGTCAATTATATATTTAGAATAACATAAGGTCAGGCACAGTGGCTCACACCTATAAACCCAGAACTTTGGGAGGCTGAAGCAGGCAGATCACTTGAGGTCAGGAGTTCAAGACCAGCCTGGCCAACATGGTGAAACTGTCTCTACAAAAATACAAAAAACTAACCAGGTATAATGGTGGATGCCTGTAATCCCAGCTATTCCGGAGGCTGAGGCAGGAGAAGTGCTTGAACCTGGGAGGCGAAGGCTGCAGTGACTCAAGATTGTGCCACTGCACTCCAGCCTGGGTGGCGAACAAGACTCCATCTCAAAAAACAAACAAACAAACAAACAAAAAAAGCTGGGCACAGTGCCTCACACCTGTAATCCTAGCACTTTGGGAGGCTGAGGTAGGGGGATCATCTGAGGTCCAAAGCTCAAGACCAGCCTGACCAACATGGAGAAACCCCATCTCTACTAAAAATACAAAAAAATTAGCTAGGCATGGTGGCACATGCCTGTAATCCCAGCTACTCGAGAGGCTGAGGCAGGAGAATTGTTTGAACCTGGGAGGCAGAGGTTGTGGTGAGCTGAGATCACGCCATTGCACTGCAGCCTGGGCAACAAGAGCAAAACTCTGTCTCAAAAACAAACAAAGAAAAAATATATAGAAGTTGCTTAAAGATGGTTTACATTATCTATTACAGACTTTTAGAACTTGAAAGTTAAGATTTTGCTTTGCTCAGTTTTATCTCCAGTGCCTCACACAGTGCACACACATAGCACACACCTATTTTTGAATGAGTGATATTCAAAATTACTTATATCTCATCAACCCCTCCCAAAGGAAAATCAGTTTTTTGAACCCTTATCTTTTTTAATGCCAACAAGTTACAAAAATCTTAGGAGTTTCACTAAAAATTCTCGAGAGTTTACCCATAGAGGAATCAACTTCTATCAAAAAAAAAAAAAAAATCTAGCTCCTAGAGCTTCTGGGAATCAGACATATATCCTGATGACCAGTATCACTGTAGAAGGGTCATTTCCATGAGTGACTAGTTTCCATTGTAAATTAATGAGTATTATCTCAAGAAATAATGAGTAGGTTCCTGCTAAAAATGTTACCAGCTTGGTACAATTAGGTTAACCTTAATTATAGCGTTTTCTTTACAGGGGCTAGGCATACAATGGATCGTCACCAGTCTCAGCTCATCTCTCAATGCAAATGTCACTAAAAGTAACAACTAAAGTCTGACCAGGTCAATCTGGGAAACTTGAAAGATTGAGTCAATGGCATAATGTATTACATACAATGGGCTTGTGCTAAAATAGCTAAATTAGGTTTATTATCAATGACTTTCTTATAAAGCTCAAGAAAAAGGTTTCCTGTTAAGATACCTAATGGTCCTCTTGGATAGTTTATACTGACAATAAATATAGGCCATATACATTTCATTTATATAAATTTACGCTTTAACATTACCATTTTACAATTTAACATCCCACATTTAGCCAAGTGGATGTGTATACCAACTTGGTCACAACAGGTTTATCACAAAATAAATATTTATTGAGAACCTACTGAGTGGATAACATTCTTCGGATCACATTATTTGGAAGCAAAGGTGAATGAGAAGTGCACACAACATGGGGGGTACTTAACAGTATTTGTATATTTGCTTTATTAAGTTTTACCTTTTAAAAAAGTCAAGTCTTGAGGCATCCAGAACAATGAATGAAAATCATGGAACGCCTTTAAAATAATATAGTCACAGTCAGGTGCAGAGGCTCACACCTGTAATCCCAACACTTTGGGAGGCCGAGACTGACGGATCACCTGAGGTCAGGCGTTCGAGACCAGCCTGGCCAACATGATGAAATCCCGTCTCTACTAAAAATACAAAAATTAGCAGGGCATGGTGGTGCATGCCTGTAATCGCAGCTACTCAGAAGACAGAGACAGGAGAATCACTTGAACCCAGGAGGCAGCAGTTGTAGTGAGCTGAAATCGCGCTACTGCACTCCAGCCTGGGCAACAGAGACTCGGTCTCAAACAAATAAAATAAAGTAAAATAAAATAAAATAAAATAAAATAGTCACCAATCACCAACCACCAGTGTTATTTTAACTTCCTCTTTCACATTTTTTTCCAAAGAATAATAGTCTTAGTGAATTTATTTGGTAGACATTCAAAATATACAGAGACACAGAGGACTGATTGATTTAAATTTGTGTACGAATAAAGCCGTTTTTAAGCTAGACAGTTCTTTACAAATTTTTTTTAGTGATGAGCAAAGTGAACGCCACTGCTACTTTACCAGGAAAGTAATTAAGCCTATTTCTCTGACAAGTTAAAATGTATACATCTTTTAAGAAACTGGGTCTGGCTATGTTGCCCTGGCTGGATTCAAACTCCTAGGCTCAAATGATCCTCCTGCCTCAGACTCCCTAGTACCTGCAGCACTTGAGCCCAGTAGTTCAAGAACAGCCTGGGCAACATGGGAAGACTCTGCCTCTACAAAAATATTTAAAAATTAGCTAGGCATGGCCAGGCACGGTAGCTCACGCCTGTAATCCCAGAACTTTGGGAGGCTGAGGCGGGTGGACCACGCAGTCAGGAGATTGAGACCATCCTGGCCAACAAGGTGAAACCCTGTCTCTACTAAAAATACAAAAATTAGCAGGGCATGGTGGTACATGCCTGTAATCCCAGCTACTCGGGAGGCTGCGGCAGGAGAATTGCTTGAACCAGAGAGTCCAAGGTTCCAGTGAGCCAATATCGTACCATTGCAATCTAGCCTGGAGACAAAGTGAGACTCCATCTCAAAAAAAAAAAAAAAAAAAAATTAGTTGGGTGTGGTGTTGCATACCTGCGGTCCCAGCTACTCCGGAGGCTGGGGTAGGAGGATCACTTGAGGTTGAGGCTACAGTGAGCCATGATAGTGTCACTGTACTCCAGCCTGGGTGACAAGAGCTCATGTTTCAAAAATAAATAAAATGAATAAAAAGAATTAATGTAGATATAAAAATCAGAATGGGTCCAAAAGACTAACTAGTCTTAAAATCTTCCCTCTGGTCCCTGCTTTGCCAAATCAGGTTTGAGAAATTAGGTCTCAATAAATTAGACACATCACATCAAAAAATGGATCTTTCTGGGACAGTGGAAAAAATAAAAATAATTTCATACTTGAAAAGCAATTTAAAAAGAAGCCACATTGTACAGTGGGCGGCCAGACAGTTCAATAGTTAGCAGCAGGGCTTTAGAATCAGACTGCCTGAGTTTAAATGGGTGTGCCACTTAGGGTGACCTTGAGCAAGTTACTCAATTTCTCTGTGTTTCAGTTTCATCATCTTTAAAACAGGAAAATAAAAGCATCTACCTCTATAGGGTTGTTAAAAGAATTAAAGCCTTCAGGAAGCTTAAAAGCTACTTTTTATATTTATTCTTTCTAAATTTTCTATTTTGAATAGATTCCATATAACTGTAAACTACTCAGTGTTCTCTAAAGAACTGTTGTAGACACTATACTCAAGGACTCACTGTGAGCACCAGGCACAGTGTTTGCTTTCATACCAAATGGTTATCGTCTTTGTTAAATACTTTCAAACTACTGAAAGTGAGACATATACAGACCAAATATTCCATTTACACCAAGTGTTCTGTGGGGAAGGGAAGGGAAATTAAAGACTATCTCTGTTATTCAAACAGTAGAGGCCTGAATATGTATTTTTTAAATTATTAAGTCTAATATTTGAAAACAGTATGCGAATAAAATACGACTAACCCACTCCTCGAAATGAATCTCAAACATCCCTAAAATCAAATAAATGGACATAATACTACAGAAATTTTCAGATTAGTAGAAAATGTAACCACATAGCATGAGATCTGCACTGTATTGGCATAAACACTGTAACTGTGCCACACAATGAACTCGGTGAGAAACAGTAAGAGGTTAAAGCTAGTTTAAAACTTCAGAATCCATTTGTTCTCTGCTAAGTCAAATTATAAAAATAATACAGCAGTTTTGAAAAGCCCTCAGTTAAAAATTCCGTTTTTCCGCCTAGCTGAGTAATGCAGATGATTGAGGAGCCCAAAACTGGACGCACAGCAATTAAGTGTCAGGTTGTCTGGTGGCAAAGATTTCTCCTATCGCTCAGTCACAACTTGCTGGGAGACTATACCTCTTTCTAAGATGGCTGGAAACAGATGAGACAGTGCAGATGCAAAAAAAACGGTCGCTATAGGAACATTGCCGTAAAATCCATTCTCTCTATTATGGTTCTTGTTTGAGTTTTCCTAACATAGACATGAAGAGCAAAATACTGCTTTTAGTTAACCAATGGTTAACCTTGCAGCATACACACGTATTTTTTTTTTTCATTTTTCATTTGGCCGCATGGATTCTTATATTAGCTTAATTATAAAGTGGTTTGGCAGTAGCTAGCAATTTCCACTACTCCTTCCACTCGTCCTCGTCCTCCTAAAGGGTTATAAACTCAAGCAAAAAAACCAAAAAAAAATGCCAGGCCTCAAAACCAAAGACTCTATCTCACTTTGCCTCAAGTTTGCAAGTTGGTAAAAAAAAGCTGCCGGCAGGCACTCAAAAAAACAAAACAAAACAAAACAATACTGGGTGACTGCTGGACTAAAGAATACAAGGTGACGAGATCAAGTATCCTGGTAGCCACAGACTAGCTCTGGGATGGCCAGAGAGTGTGACCCCACCACCTCCGCTCTCTGCTTTCAGGTCCTAAACTGACACCAGTAAAAGGACGACTGGGGGTACCGCAAGAGGAAGAAAAGACTTCGGGCTTGCCCCGCCTGCTGCCACTGACCCTCGTGTCCCCAACACCGATGCCGCTAAGAGCCGCGGCCAGGGAGCTTAGATGGGTCCCCAAGGGAGGAATGGGAAAGCGCGACCTCACTGCCGCCACGCGCACCGGACCTGTAGAGGCCGCTCGCGCCTACGCCTCCCGGGGCAACGACGCGCTGCAGGCCGCGGCCGCCTTCACCCCAGCAGCCGCGGCCTCTGGGAGAAGGAAGCTCGAAGGCCGCCTGCTCCCCATGCCTCCCACCCCACAACGAATCGCGCCGGAAAAGGCAAAGTTTGACTCTCGCCGTTAGGCCCGAACTTTCCCGCCCGCCCGTGCAGCTCCCACTCGGCCGTCCCCGGGCTCCAGCCTCTGGCCCACTCACAGAGACTACTTACTCTGTCTGCTCCCGCAGCGACTGGGTCTCCGCGGCGGCCATCTTGAACTTCCTGACTCCTCGGCGGCGGTGGCGGCGGCTCCCGGACGGTGGAAGGTAGTGGAAGTGGAAGAAGAAGGAAAAGAGCTGCCGCGCATGTGCTGACCGCGTAGGGAAGAGCGGGGTTCTGAGTCCGCGCTAAGAATCCGGATATGAAACCTTGCGCCCGGGACTGGCGCAGGGCGTAGTGTCGCAACTTCCGGGAGCATGGTGGGCGGGGCTGCTGAGGATTGAGGGCCGTGTCAAGCTTGAGCTCTTTCGTCAGTGCTAGAAATGGCCGTTTAGTTATCGAAGCCTGCTGACGAGGGGAGCCAACAAGGGAGGGATGTCGGCATCGGGTATGCAGTTCCAAGAACTGATTGGCTATGGAGACTGGAAGTTGGGTGAAAATTCTCATAAACTCGGGCAAACGAATTGATGATTTTTCCCTGGTCGGTGTTAAGAGACACAGTAAATGCTTAACCATCTCGCTAGATAGCCCAGCTGAAGTGGCATTAGCTTCCCCGGGAAGTGTGTAGAAAGGCGTTTTTAAATACTGTAAATTAGGGTTGTACCTCGAACGTAAATATCTTTTAATGTGGAACTGTTACTGTATTTGACACATCTTTTCAACTTTTACATAGTTCAAGGGTGACATGATTCAGGAGTCGTTCAGTTCGTTGTTTCCGTAATTGGAACGTGTAATGTTTTTTGGCCCAAGTTGCTTTATGTGGTTTTGTTTTTTTCTATAACGACGCTGCAGTAATGGAGTAGAATGGAATACTGTAGGGAAAACATTTACTGGCTCTTGGAGAGCTCTCAATACCAATTAGGTTCTTTAATTCCTCTTTAAAAAAAATTTCTCGGCCTGGCGCTGTGGCTCACGCCTGTAATCCCAGCACCTTCGGAGGCCGAGGTGGGCGGATCACCTGAGGCCAGGAGTTCGAGACTACCCTGGCCAACATGGTGAAACCCCGTCTCTGTTAAAAATACAAACAATTTAGCCGGGCGTGGTGGCGCGCGCCTATAATCAATTCCAGCTACTCGGGAGGCTGAGGCAGTTGAGAATCGCTTGAACCCGAGAGGCGGAGGTTGCACTGAGATCACGCCACTGCGCTCCAGCCTGGGCAACAGGGCAAGATTCCATTAAAAAAAAAATTATCCATACTTTGGAACCTAGAAGCAGCGTGACGATCACTTTCATTCTTGTAATCATCTTAGTTTGCCTTTGTCCTAGAAAATTGAGTTCGGAATCTCCAGGCTCCATACATACCTCTTGATTTCCAGGGGAGAAGGGTTTCAAATGTTCTTAGAAAATGTCTCTTGCTGCCTGAATTCCCAACGTTTTGAAATGTTAGGGCCAGGCGCGGTGGCTCAGGCCTGCAATCCTCTAGCACTTTGGGAGGCCAAGGCGGGCAGATTGCCTGAGCTCAAGAGTTCGAGTTCAGCCTGGACAACATCGCGAAACCCTGTCTCTACTAAAAATACAAAAAATCAGCCGGCGTGGTGGCGCCTATAGTCCCAGCTACTCGGGAGGCTGAGGCAGAATCGCTTGAACCCGGGAGGCGGAAGTTTCAGTGAGCCGAGATCTCGCCATTGCACTCCAGCCTGGGCAACAAAAGCAAAAACTCTGTCTCAAATAAAAATAAGTAAATAAATGAAATAAACTTAGTAAACTATTTTAAAATAAATAATGTGAAAATTAACAGTGTATGTAGTAGAACTGTGAGAGATCTCATCTTGGAAACAGAGTGATATACTTGAAGGCAAAAGATTGGATTAGGTACTATTAACACGTTTGACACATGAACAAACTGACACCAAGAGGTAAAGTAATTTGCTTATGATGATTGAGTTCCCAAGTACCAAGCTGATTTTTGAACTAAAATCTGACTAGAAAATCTGCTATTTTCTTATCAGGCTGCTTCCTACAAGAATATAACCTCGCTTAGTATCTACTTATAGAGCATCCACCCTCACAACTCTTTGGCATTCAAATGTTTGTTGAGTAGCGGTAGTAGAGCACTACGTTCCAATCGGAAAATGCCTTATTTTTCCTTGTTTGCAGGAGCCTATTATAAATAAATGCCTTGTTTTCGCTGTGTCTCTTGTTGTCGAGAGCTCAAGCTGGTCTCAGTTTCTACAACCACAGTATTATCTCCCAGGTCTCCTTCTGCCCTATGTATATTGCAGTTATGCTTTACGTGGAGATGAAGCATCCTAAGAGTGGGGAAGGATATATGGGGCCGGAACAATAGGCGCTGAAGCCAGATTGTGACTAAAGTTGGTATTTGAACAAACCAAGTCTTTTTTTTAAAGAGCATGGTAAAAACTAAGTTTCAAAAATCGATGCTGGCAAAAATTTCCTTGAAAAAATTCTCACCAAGTTCAGTTGCAAGGTGCTACCTGGGGAATGAAATAGATTTGTCAAGGACACACCTAAAACTATTACTGTTGTAGTTTTGAAAGACTGAGATCTTTGGAAGGGGGAGTTACAATTAAAGCAAACATCGGCGTATTCGTTTATTCATTCACCAAATGTTTATGAAGCAACAAACTTATGCCCAACATTTCAATCTTGCTGCTCTTCCTCCCCAAATTCAGGAACTTTTGCAACGGAAACCGGCCCCGGGCATGCGCCTTTTGAGCCGAGGAGCAAAAGGGGCAACTCAGTAGCGGCACCCGCCTCCCCGGAAATCCTTGGAGGGGGCGGGGCTCTCGGAGCGCGCTCTTCCCAGCGGCAGCTGGGGAGGCGCATGCGTACTTGCGTTATCGTGGGGGGTGCATCGCGGAGGCGTGGGAGAATCTGTGGCCCGCGGTGGGCCTTGGTCCCTTCTGTCCCCGCCCCGAAGCCGCCTGCTCAAGCTGAGGGCCACCGGCTTCTATCCGTCGGTGTCGGTGCTCCTTGCCTCCCAGCCAGAGCGTCTCATCCCTGGGCCCGGAGCCCCAGGCTCGCTTTCCTCAGCCCGTGCTGGCAGCGGCGCTCTTGCCGCCATTCCTGTGAGGTCGTTTTCCGGAGCCGCGGGGCTGGCGGAGGAGTAAGTAGGCGCCAGAGTCCTGGCCCGGGCATCCGCCTCGGGGCCCTGTCGCCGCCGCGCCCCGGATCCTGCGTTGATCCTGTCCGATAAAGCGGAGGTCGGCCCTGCTTGCTGACGCGACCGTGAAAACCACAGCGCTTGGCGCCCGGCCGCCGCCGCCGCCGCCACGCCACACACAAGTGTACCGGCCCGAGGCAGGCTTCGGGCGCGAGCTTGCCTTTGTGACTTTCTCTTACCGTCTTTGCTTGCTTCCTTTTAAGTATTACTTCCAGATAAGGGACACATTCTCGAAATACTTTGAAAATAATTTTGAATTTTGTTTCTCCCGTTGAGACTGATTACATTTGGACCTTTGAAGCTACACTGTGCAATCATCAATCTCAATAAGCTCGTAATAGGCTCATTCTTCCATAGGCTACAAGCAAAATAATAGATCATAACATCCTGCGGGGGAAGCCGTTGGTCCATGTAGAGTCGCCAGATGTCAATTAAGAGTAGATGGCTTTTCAGAGAATACTTACGGCTCTGGTTTAGACCTGGACTTGGAACTTTGAGGTGTTTGGAACACTGGGCAGAATTTTCCTTTGTTATAAAACAAACTTTATGAGAACGTATTTTGTTGTTGTTGTTAGTATTGAAGCAATTTTGGTGCAAACCAAAAGATAAAGCAAAACAATGAAAATCACTCAGAGTTCCATTACCCATACTGAACCAACTTGAACATACTGGTTTATTTTGGCTTTTTTCCATATGAAATGTCAAATATTCTTATACTCAGGTATAGAATGTGATATTTACTCTTTCATGTAACATGTCCCCCAATTTTTACATACGTAATTCTCGTTTCAGTAAGCATTTTTATAACTACACTCTTTTTCCTTTGTTATTGTATGTCTAGGTTATTTCAACTGCACTATTGCATGTAACTACTATATGATGAGGCAATGGCTAGATCAGTATTTAGAACGTGAGCATTCAAGTCAGGCCACCTGGGCGTCACAACTTACTGGGCAATTTCAAACAATTTAACTTTTTTGAGCCTCATTTTACACAGTAACATGGGGATAATGATTCTGATTGCCCAGAATTATTACAGTAAAATGAAATAATGAGGGAAAGTGGCTGCAGCATGTCTTGTTAGTAAATGCTATTACTGTAGGCAGATTTTCTTTTGTTGTGATTTTTTGGTGACATGTATGATTTATTTCCAGATTTTGAATATACTTAAATACCACAGTAGGGGTATGGGGTTTGATACACAGCTTTTCATATATTTTATACAATATATTCTGTGTTTGATACACAGCTTTTCATATATTTCATACAATATATCGTGTGTTTGATACACAGCTTTTCATATATTTTATTATAAGTAACACATGAGTTAGAAATAATTTTTCACAATAGGGAAACATTTAAAAAATTAAAATGTATAATCCTGCTAACCATAGGTGAATAGTCGCATTTTGGGCAATCTTTTTTATGCATATATATGTAGTGGTTTGTTTAATTAATTATTTATTTATTTATTGGAACAGAGTCTTGCTCTGTCGCCCCGACTAGAGTGCAGTGGTGCGATCTCGGCTCACTGTAATCTCCGCCTCACCGGTTCAAGCAATTCTCCTGCCTCAGCCTCCTGAGTAGGTGGAATTACAGGCGCCCGCCGCCACACCCTGCTAATTTTTATATTTTTAGTAGAGACGGGGTTTCACCATTTGGCCAGGCTGATCTCGAACTCCTGACCTCGTGATCCACTCTCAGCCTCCCAAAGTGCTAGGATTACAGGCATGAGCCACTTTGCTGGGCCTGTAGTGTTTTTTAAAAATAGAATTATATTATAAATTGGGCTTAGTAACTTGCTGAAAATGGCAGAGGCCAGTGCGATGAGAGTGGGGTGATTAAGGGAGTAGGAAGTAATGCAGGAAGGGGAGTTTGTAGGATTCAGATTTCATTAAGTGTACTGGGCAGGTTGGGCATAGTGGCTCGGGCCTGTAATTCTGTCACTTTGGGAGGCTGAGGTGGAAGGATCCCTTGAGCCCCGGAGTTCGAGCCAGGCTGGGCAACACAGGGAGACCCCATCTCTGTAAAATAAAAATAAAAATTATTTTGAAAGAAAAGTTTACTGGACAGAGTAAGTTCAGGATTGAGGAGTGACCTGATTTGTTTTAAACGAAGGTTCATTTGGCTGCAGTAT